TTTCGTCCATTTTCAGCCACTTTTCTCATTTTTCATAACGCAGCAAAAATCAGCAAAAAAGTAAGGCTATATAGCCTTAACTTTTCGTCCATTTTCAGCGACTTTTCTCATAAAGCAACTAATATGTATAAACACGGCGTGCACACTGATTTTTTTCGCACGATGTTCTGGTTTTAACTTAGGGGGAAATAAAAAAAAGCAGTGTCCGTGGTCGGAGCCGAGTAGTACTGTGGAAGATTGGGTTGGAAAATTTGCAATTAAGATCTGTATTTTTGGGCAATTGTGTTACTTTTCGAAAAATAGTATCCTACTGATGTAAAATAACATCTAAAGAAGGGTTTGGCAACAATGATGTCCGAAGAGGATACCATTCTCTAAACGTCATTGTTGCCAGCAGTTGTGTATAAACTTTATGCTTCTGGTTTTTCAAAAGTAATAATGGTCTAGAAATACAGATTTATATCGCAAAGTTGTGCGCTTATTCACACTATTAAAGTTAATAAGGTCTGTAAGCATTGGCACAAGTGCTTGTTCCCCCATGCATAAATTTTTAACTAGTTTTTGGGATTGGATTTATTCAAATTTGATGTGATTTTGAACAGATATAGCTGTTACGTTGAGTAAAATATTGTTCGTTTATACATTGTTCTAGTTTCTATAGCTTTTATTGCCTTAACAGTCGAACTATATGTGATTTTGAATCATTTGTTAATTGTTCGTTCATTTTATTATGCATGACAAAACCAGAAATTTATAGTTTGATGGTCACAACAAATTTGAGCATAAAAATGTTAAAATTGCACACCCAAACATTAGCTGTTATATTTGAAATCACTGGAACACGACTAGTTAAGTATATGTTTGAATTGAATTTCATACATGCAGTATTTCAAAAGTTTTGAAAGAGATAATCGATCAGAACTTTTGAAATAATGCATGTAAGAGAAATTCAATTCAAACTTATACTTAAAACTAGCTACGTTCCAGTGATTTCAAATATAATTGCTAATGTTTTGGTGCGCAATTTTAACAGTTTTATGCTCAAATTGGTTGTGACCATCAAACTATAAATTTCTGGTTTTGTCATGCATAATAAAATGACCGAACAATTAACAAATGATTCAAAATCACATATAGTTCGACTGTTAAGGCAATAAAAGCTATAGAAACTAGAACAATGTATAAACGAACAATATTTTTACTCATAGAATGAGTAAGACCAATATATGTTCAAAATCACATCAAATTTGAATAAATCCAATCCCAAAAACTAGTTAAAAATTTATACATGGGGAACAAGCACTTGTGCCAATGCTTACAGACCTTATTAACTTTAATAGTGAGAATAAGCACACAATTTTGCGATATAAATCTGTATTTCTAGACCATTATTACTTTTGAAAAACCAGAAGCATGTTTGTTATAAGTAAAACAACTTTGATTTTTTTCATAAAGTTTATACACAACTGCTGGCAACAATGACGTTTAGAGAGTGTGGTATTTTTCCTTGAGACGTAAGACGAAAAACGACATATACATTAACCCCAAATTTTATTTCATTAAAGTCTCCTAGTATACTCAATTTCAACCATTCTGTTCCAATTTATCTCCAGAGAGTAGAAGAAGGGCTGCCGTATCTATCATATTGGATGCATATTACAAACATGGAATGGGAAATTATTGGGTTTTTAGGCCAACTTAGTCAACCCTGTCAAAGCCATGATTTCAGTAGTGTTTTTGACGAAAACATTTACTTAGTACTAATCAAACCATATTGTCACAAAAGATGCTTATCTTTGCCAGGTGAGTGGCAAAATTATACTTTGGTTAAATTTCTCGATTTAGTTCAATTTCAGCACAAATAATTGCTGGGAAATTCCGTCACCACGTTTGGGTTTACCGCGAAATTGTGGCAAAAATAATCTTTTTGCTTTTGCTTAAAAGGCGAGTATTATGTTCTGAATTATGACGATCAAAACCTTATCTAACTGATTTTAGATTTTGAATTATGATTAATATTATTAAACTTTTGACTTTAAATATGCTTCAAATATTCTTTTTGAATTGTCATGTAATTGAGTATTCTGAGAAAAATAATTTTATGAAATAAAATTTGAGCCAGAATGAGTTTCAATTTATATCAATTGTTATTAAACTTTTTACTCGAAATTTAAATTGTCTTGTAATTGAGTATATACAAAGATAAATCATTTTATGAAATAAAGTTTAGGGCTAAACATCGTCGTCGGACATCATTGTTGCCAAACCCTTTAAATGTTATTTTACATCAGTAGGATACTATTTTTCAAAAAGTAACAATTGCCCAAAAATACAGATCTTAATTGCAAATTTTCCAACCCAATCTTCCACAGTACTATTCAGCCCCGACCACGGACACTGCTTTTTTATCATTTCCGCCGAAGTTAAAGGCCTGCGAAAAAAACTTCGTGCGCACGCCCTATTTATACATATTAGTTATTCCTTTAAAATGTGGGTACCGATTATACGCAACCCTAGCATAGCAACTTATTAACATAATGTACGTTTAATTTAGAACGAAATGCTGAATGCAAACTTCCGACGACGCTATTATGACCGTACGTCGCTGAGCTTGCTCTACAGAGTGTTTTCATGGCGACCATGTTCAGGAACAAATCTGGATCGAAATTAATACATATTTCTTTTTTTAAAAAGCGAGTTTGCTCCTTAACAAACCAACATAAAAACACTCTAACCCTGGCGGTCTTTTCATTAAAAATAAGGCCGTATTTACACTTAATGCGCTTCTAAATGTCGTACGAACTTGAATCTGAAGGCTTTGCCAGAAACGCACAACCCAGATTCAAATTGCAAAATGGCAACGTTTCGTGCGAGTGTATATTGCGCAGTTTGGACGCTTCTAAACTGTCTATCTCCCTAACTATTTTGCGCACACGACGGACCATATTATCCGCATGCAACCGCCCTGTAAAGGAATATCCCTGAAGGTATTGAGCCGCAATGACCGCCATAAGAGAGGGGACCTAGTCGCTGGTAGCGGACTGTTTTTTTCATGAATTAAGACCGGCTACCAGGAAAATACATGCTTTACCTTACTACGGGAGAGAAAATGTTTAAAAAAAACTTTGCCACCATAATTGTCTTATTCTCGCCGATCCAAACGACCAACATGATTTCCACCAAGTCTTCTTACGGGTACCATTTGCACCCTCTAAGCTATGGGTACCATTTGTACCCCCTAACCCCAAGACAAACGATGCCAGTTTTTTGAAAAAGGTTTACATGAGGAAAGTGACAAATTTCTTTTTTACTAACGAGCAATAAGATATTACAAAGAATCAAACAGCAATTTCCAGTCGTCGTTCAAAACTCTGGCAAAGCTTTTCTTGCACACATCCTGCCTCATGACCCTGTCTAAACTGTTGTGTTGCTGCGCTTGTAATGCGTATGCACCAAGGCAGTATATTTACACAGAGGGAAACCATGCAATAACTATACACTCAAATGTTCCCTCTTTTTTCAGATCGGTTTTCAAATTCAGAAGCTGACGAATTTCGAAAGTACAGTTTTTGCAAAGAAAATCATCGTTATAAACTTTCGTTGAAGCTATCAAAGTCTACTGAACAGAAAATAGATCGAATGTGTAAATATACTGAACATTTAGACCGCCAGGATTTATGCCGGATTTCATTGTACCCAGAACAACAAAACAAACAATGGATACAAGTATATACCATTGAACTATAAGTAAACTGGAACGATAAGTTCGCCGCCATCTTTGAAGCCGGCCATGAGTGCTTTCTGCAGGTAGCCCAGTCCTTTTTAAAAAATTCTTTCAAAATATGCACATTTTTCGATCAGAAAAATCTTGCCCCAAAATATTACTTATACCACCAAATTTAATTTATATCAGTAGTATGATAAACGAATTTAATATTCGCAAATCAAACAAATCACGAATTAGCAAAAAATGCGAAAAAACACGACCATAATGAACGGTCAGAAAAACAGCGCGTTTTAGGCTTTTTTGAAAGTTTAAGATAAAACTAAGACGTCATACCTCAGGAATTATTTAAACCCATGCAAAATACATCTGTATGCGAAGTTTCAAGAAGATTGAACGTTTTAAGGTCGAAAAAAAAAGCATTTAAAAATTGACAAAAATATTGCCATATTCAACGTGCTCATAGTGGCCAACAAGAAGAGCGATGACGAAAATAACATCACTTGAAAAACGCCAATTTATTTATGTTTTAGAAGGAATAAAACCAGGACTAAAAGCTCAGGATCAATAACAATACCTGGGGTTTTAGTACAGCATAAGTTTTGGGACTGTCAATATGTTTTATAGTATTTTTTTTGAGTTGTAGAGCGAGGTTCCCTCCGGCACGTCCAAAACTTTCGTCATTTTTTCATAATACAAAAGCAAAACTCCTTACTTTTTGCTGCAGAGAGATGTAAAACAGTTGGAACTAATCGGAAAACCTGGTTTGAATCCTAATCATTGTTGTCATGGAAAAAGTGTTTTTATTGCACATTTTTGCTCGAAAACAAACTTTTGACCGAATTTTTTTCACTCCTCAAAACTCTCCTTAGTCCTTTTGAAAGCTGATTTTCCCGCGCACCGGCTTCAACGAATCATAGGCCTCCATCATAGGAGTTAGCCTTCCAGTTTATTTATAGTTCAATGGTATCTACAGCCTGTTCGCAGGCAAACAAGAAAGAACAGTACCTGAAAGTAGACATTTCTGTGACCTTTGTATGTCCATTAACTGAATATCCATTACGGGGCCATATTTATCCATCATAGTTTCTTTGTATCCATTTATTATAGTCACAAATATCCACTGCTGACCATGGACATTTGATCAATCCTTTCATTTCATCCGAGGCATCCAATTTCATCATCGTCTTTGTCTTGAATTCATAGCTTCGTGATCATAACTACTGTCTTTGGTGTATTGTTGTAATTTGATTAGAAATAGTATTTCCTCCTGTATTGCTCTTCGAGGCATGTCATCTTGGTATTACCATTTGCATTCAAGCGTTAAGCGTTAAGCGAAATTACGGTTTGTTTCCGGTTTTGAGAACATGGGTTTGCCCAATGAAAACTGTACGTTTGACAGGTCAAACTTGTACGTTTGATATTTCAATTTTCAAAACAACACTTCGCTGGGCGGGACTTATTAATACAGACTACATTTGAATATTTGATTTTAAACCAACAAATGGAAATTTTAAAACGAATAAGTTTGGAAGATCCTATATTAGTGGAAAACCTTTATCAGAAGACTTTCGAGTATTAATCTTGGACACAATTATTGAGAAGGGAGGAGACAGTTTAACAGGTTATATTCCAGTTACTTATATCGAGATTTCGAAACGTTTCTGCGTTAAATTATTCACAGCAAACAGTTGCAAAGATATGGACGGAATTTTGCCAAAGAAACAGTTTTGCTGTACAATCCCGTAGAGGACTACGACTATACGTATTAATAATCGCAAATTAACTGACAATGACTTGGAACTGATCGAAACGTTGAGAGCAAATAAGGGATCGATCTCAATGCGATATAATAATATGAATGGATATATGTTTTAAAATATGATGTCAATGAAATGTCAAACTATTAAAGTCTAAGTTTAGTAAATAACTAGTTTATAAATCCCGTGTAAACAATACCGTACCTTCCAGAGGTTTATTTTTAATATACAGTAAGTCCCGCCCAGCGAAATGTTGTTTTGAAAATTGAAATGTCAAACGTACAAGTTTGACCTGTCAAACGTACAGTTTTCATTGGGCAAACCCATGTTTTCAAAACCGGAAACAAACCGTAATTTCGCTTAACGCTTGAATGCAAATGGTAATAACATGATATTTTATAAATCAATATTTCATCAGCATGTTCAGTAATGATCTGTAAAACAAAGCAAAAAGACAAAAATTAATTCAGATATAAAACTTAAAACCGTTAGGTTGTACTGTGCCCTGATGCATGCTCTACTTGAGTATTTTACTGTCCAACGCCAGCCGATTTTATGCTTCGTGAGACTGCCCATGTGTCTAGTTACCCATTAACTGCCAGTGCACCCCCTGCTTAATAAAATTGTATGATGTTAGACAGAGTTAAATAATATAAGTAGGTAAATTAGGGTGCAAATCAACTTAATGGGTAAATGTACTGCTTACATGATCCCAGTTTGTCAGGACGTACAGGATGAAAGGTGGGATGATTTTCATGCACTGAAATAAGTCACTAGGCTTGAACAAAAAAAAGTTGTAAACATCACTGCATAATATCAGAGAAAATTTTCCAAGGATACACTTAATTGCCTTGCACACATTGTTGGTGTATAGTTTATTTGTCAAGCCAGCCAGATAGTTGAATTGCTGTTATCTAAGATAAATAGGGTTAACTCCTTAAGCTGCAAAGGAACTCAAATGTCTGATATCAGATCATTTTACTCATCAAGAGGAAAGTCTTGTGCATCAGATGCTGTACTCAAGGAACTTCAAAATACAAACAGGCATGCATGGTACAGTGTGAAAATTTTTTTATGAACTTTGTTTTAGTTAACCCTTTAAGTTGCATTGTGCCCGATGCACCCTATTTTAGTATTTTACTGTCTAACGCCACAGGATTTTACTTGTCAAGTGGAACTGCCACTCAAGCACAAAAAGAGTTCAAAAACTTAAAGCACAAAAAGAGTTCTAAAATCACGAACCGCGCAATGTTTTAGAAAACAAAATCTAACTAATCTGGACGTTTTTGACAGCCATCATATGCAATGGTCACATCGCAAACATTGGAATATGGTTTGTGCAACAATTTTGTCAAAAATAGACACTGGACGGTATATTATCAGAAACACAAGCTTTAGTATTATTAGTGATGAATTAAGTCATTTCAACAGCAATGACGTATTGAAATTTTCTTAGCCCGATCATCGCTTTACAAAGGAAGACTGGTAGAAATGTATCCTGGGTGTCCCAAAAAAACCCTTGTGCTGTTTGATTTAATGTAACATAAAAACTACAAAAGCTATTACACTCAAATAAGTTTTATTGTGTTCATAAAGGACTAACTTAGATTTTGATATGTAACATTTGAATACCCCCCCCATATACGAGTTCCCCCCACCTATATGCCCAACAAAAAACTCTTAAGAACAAATATGAGCCCATCCTCGTTCCCAGTGTCTCACCCCCTACTCCAGAGAGACGTTAAAAATTTTTACAACTATGTTATACAGATATTACATTACTGCTATCAATATAAACTATGAATCTGAAAACCCTATGACTTGGAAATCAATCTGTTTGAAATGTAACACTTCTCGTAGTCTTGCTACTCCACTCTCTTGTTGTATTTATTCTCGTAAATTATGTTATTGTATATTTATATAGTATTTGTAAAATAGAGCCCACAGTAATTGGTTTTTATTCTGTTGTGATGACACTGCCACTCTTTTATGTGGTAAAGATATCATAAATTCATAACATATCTCAAATTAGTTGGGCACCCCATTTATAGAAAATCATGAATAGAAACAAAAATCCTAAATCATGCCTACTAAAAACTTCAAATTCCTATCAACAGTTGGGGACCCAATTTATAGTAGCTCCCCCACGGGATTACAGTCTTCTGTCATTCGACGCTAGTGCTGTACAGCTACCGGCGAAATATGATTGGCAGTTTTTCATTCGTTCGTTTCAAAATTATACTTGCATAAATTTGCTTAGCTAATTTTGAGACGAGTATACCGGTTTTACAGATTACATAAAGTTTCTGGGTGCTGTTGGGCAGACATTGTCACACAAAAGAGCATTTAATTTTTTGGGATGAATAAATTTGGTAGAATTTACAAATCTGGCATTTTTTTTTGCGAGTTTATGTTTCGATTTCGTTGTATTGTTTTGCTCGACTTTGTCTATTGACCTTGTTTACATACTATAAGTTCTATTTAAAGTAACACACCTGATTGGATAATAAAATTAGAAAGCCACTGAAGTGCACAATATTATATCCATTTATATGACTACGTCCTGCATTAGTGACAAATGGTTGCAGACTGTTATCCTTCCACCACGGGGGGCAGACTGTGCGCAGACTAAATTTATAGAAAATCCTAAATCATGCCTACAGCCTACTAAAAACTTATTCAACCCTAACAACTGCTAGCAAAATACTTGAAAGAACTGTTCATAGTCAAGTCTATAGCTATCTACTTCATGAAAATATCCTGACCCCGAAACAATTTGGATTCCGCCCTAAACTCTCCACGGCAATTGCTCTCACCTACTTCACTGACAACATTCTGGATAATTTAGACACAGGTTCTATGGTCGGTGCAGTTTTCTTAGATCTTTCGAAGGCCTTCAACACGATTAGTCACGATCGTCTCATACAGAAACTTGGCACTATTGGTTTTTCACAGCCAACAATCAACTGGTTCTCTTCTTATCTCTCTAATCATTTTCAAGTCACTTCTATTGGCCTTGAACAGTCGTCCACTCAACCAGTACATGTCGGAGTACCCCAAGGAAGTATACTGGGTCCTTTACTGTTTCTCATTTTTTTATCAGGGCTCCACTGAAAATCACTTTCGTGAGTGGCCCCCCTGACTAAATATTGTAACTATTATTATCATGTAGTTGTATAAGAACTCTATTATTTTCTATATCAAAAAATTTACAATCTATATATTATGGTATTATATATGAACTAGTTGGGGCATTTATAGAAAATCATAAATGAAAATAAAAAATCCTAAATCATGCCTACTAAAAACTTACTCAAATTCCAATAAACATAGCATGTAGTTGTAAGAAGCATGTTTCGTGATATATTTATGCCGCAATTTTTGCTTTTTGCATGTTCTAAACATGCATCATTTTTACAGATTAATCAATTCGCCATATTGTTAAATTGTTACACTCCGCAATATTGTTTCCACTTAATTGGACAGCCTTACTTCGTTCCTATTCACAGGGAACCCCCATTTTATCACTATTATAAATATCCACTAACCTTAAAACATCATCCTTTAGTAATTTAAGGTAAGTAATTGTACCAATTTATACAAGATATTTGCCCAAGATATCCATCATAATGCACATTTGCCCAAGATATCCACCAAGAAAATGCACATGGTATAGGTTTGCCAGCGACACATTTTCATCTAATCATTACAATGCCAGATGTCTCTTTGCAACAACCAGGACAAGCAGAAAAGAACGCATTGTGTTCCACACCATTTCACTAAAATGACGAATTTTAAAACAAATTTAGCTTCAAAATACCCTAAATACTTTATTATGCACTCATCTCTCTATTAATTTGAACTAAACTTCACTAAACATTATTAATTTAAGGTATAATTCAATATTTTATCCCAGAACAAACATCAAACGCAAAGCAACTTGCAACGGCAAGATATACAGCTGCAAAACGCCCTAAACTTGAATATAAATTATCTGGGATGCCAATTTCTGTTTTAGCATAAAAATACAGACTTCTGATTGGTGTGGGTATTTACAAAAGAATCTTCCTGATTGGTCAATAGAATGAATGCAGCATACAAAATTATTATGCCAAATGTATAATCTCTATGCCAATAAGATTTATATTGGCATTGGTAAAGACAGCCCTAGGCTGGGGGACCACTGTGTACTGCCCCAAAATAATCGTCAAAACTTTCTGAAAATTATGATGTTTGCGATGTTACTCTGAATGTGTATCCACACCAGCTGAAAAGTTAGCTTGGCCATGGTGGGAATCGAACCCACAAGCTTTGGGATACTAGTCCAATGCTCTGCCAACTGAGCTACATGGTCAAGTCGGTTGATGATATTTCGGAAGTCTAGTTCTTTCGATATCAGTGTATTCTATGATATGATCTAAGGAACTAGACTCGGTTCCGAAATATCATCAACTCGAACCGACTTGACCACATAGCTCACTTGGCAGACCATTGGACTAGTATCCCAAAGGTCGCGGGTTCGATTCCCACTACTTTTATAAATTCACTTCTGGGTAATCACTTTCGACTGATAAAAAAGTTTCGAAAAATTTGGGTCAAATGCAAAGGGGACCACAGGCAAAAATCAACATCTAGCCAGCTGAGCCACAGATTAAATGAAGACAGATGTATAACTTTAGTAAAAAAGTTGTCCCACAGTCGCCATCTTCCTAGCAAGTGTCGCTTGCATGATAATTTGTCATTTGATAATATGTCATTGCTTTGAAAAATGCTTTCAACACATTTTCTACAACTTTGCAGTAATTGATTGTTTAATCCATAAATTTCAATCCAAAAAAGCTGCAATAAAATGCAAAAGTTTGTGTTTTCCAGGGGCTGGTTGTTCAAAGGTCGATTAGTGCTAACCCAGGGTTAAAATTTAACCTATTGTTTTAGTTTACATATTTCTGCATATGTCCATTTATTTCAAAATATCAGAAAAGAAAACTTCTATTGATCCAGACATGATTTGTGAAGAAATATTTCCAAATTTATAAACAAGCTGTTAGGAAGTGTGCTTTGAATTTTAAGTTAACCTAGGGTTAAGCTAATCGGCTTTCAAACAACCGGCCCCAGGACACCATCTTCCAGTTCCTAGCAAGTGTCATGGCATGTTCATCCAGGGAAATTTGAGGACACAAAGTCCTATTACACAGTTACACATCTGGGTCTGGTTGTTCAAAGGTGGGTTAGTGCTAACGCTGGGTTAAAATTTAATCTGCTGTTTTAGTTTGCATATTTCTGCATGTCCATTTATTTCAAAATATCAGAAAAGAAAACTTCTATAATTTGATCCAGACATGATTTGTGAAGAAATATTTCCAAATTTATAAACAAGCTGTCAGGAAGTTTGCTTTGAATTTTAGTTAATTAAAATAAGGTTAAGCTAACCCAGCTTTGAACAACCGGCCCCTGGTGCTACCCGTGGGTTAAAATTTAACCAGCTGTTTTGGTTTGGGTACATCTGCACTTCTGTTTATTTTAAAACTTTGCAAAATAAAATTTCTATTGAACCAGACAAGAATTCTGGAAAATTATCATCATGTTTATAAACAAGCTGCAGGGAAAACAACCAGGAAATTTTCCAGAAAATTGGGCTCTTCCATTTAATATCCAGAACCTCCCTTTTTAACTCCCAAATTCCTCATGGGTAAACAAATTCTCCTGTGGAATTCTTCAGGGGTTGGTTATTTCAAATGCAATTTCCTTAGGGGTCAGATGTAAAAATTGTAATTCTTCAGGGGTAAATGCTGACTTCTTCAGGGGTAAATGCTATTTAATTAACAGGAATTATTCAAGGATCTCTTTTATGTCAGGAATTCTTCAGAGATATGGTAAAACCATTGTCCTCGACAGGGGGGTTACGTCTTTTAAAAGGAATAGCCCAATTCAAAACAGGCCCCAAAGTCTTCTAAAACTTTCTGAAAATTGTTGAGAAACATTTCTCTTGTCAAAACAATAGTTAAACTTTTGACCGATAAAAAGCAACCGTTGAAGGAAAATTCAATGTTGACATTTCTTGTATAATAGTGCTTATAAATAATTATTAATACCGAACTAATAATCGTACTGAAGTATGGCATCCAATTATTACATTTTGTAAAGTAGTAATATAAAACAGTTTTTTGCAACAGCTTTCAGCAATTCAGCCTGGTAGCATATTTGGCAAAGGCATAGCGTGGATGCAAAGTGAAACGAGGTTGGGGGTCAGGTTTTGTTTTAGCCATCGGTTTTCTGTTTGACATAGGGGCTGTTTATATTGGAGCTGGGCTGGCCCGCTTGGCAAGACAGCCCGATAAGGAACAGAGGTGAAAATGTCCCCATATAAACACTTGCAAGCGGGACGGCCCGGTTGCCGGGATGAAACATTTTCGATAGTGTGAAGTCTTTTCTGCAATTATTTTTATAGTTCTTGACATTACATACGTAAAAGAGACAAAACAAAAGGTTGCAAATACTGCGACTTGCAGTTGAGCTTAGAGACAGGAAGTTTTACCGTGCAGTTTGATCATTGAAACACACAAGTTACCAAGAGCAAACTCAAATGTTGTCAAGCGGAAATGTGAATGTTTTCATTGGAAATTTAGGCACTTTTGGCCAATCATAGCAAGAAGGCGCAGAAATTATGTGATGAAAACATCCGCATTTCCGCTTGACAACATTACGATCAAACTGTGCGGTAAAACTTCCTGTTTCTAAACTCGACTGCAAATCGCAGTATGTGCTTCAATAGCGGGTCTCTGTAAAAAACGGAAACAGAAACAACCGAATCCGGAAACGACCGAAACCAGAAATTCCCGCCTAATTTCCCAGAATAAAATTGCCTAAAATTTAGCCTGCAAGCAGGCTCACTGGGATAATAAACAAAGACTGTCAAATTGACGCAGGGCGTGAAATGTACAACAAAGAAATGTATAAAACAAGTGTAACTCCAAAGATCAATAAATTTTTATATTTTAATACCAACATTTCGACTATATTTCAGTCATCATCAGGATAAAGAAATGTATAACATTAATACGAAACATTAGCAAGCCACACAATATATTAAAAATAGGCGCCAGATAATACATTACGAGCTAATCAATACACATACAAATATACAAAATACACATACAAAATACACATATAAAGCCGAATAAAATACTACCATTGAATGCAATAATACTTGTACTACTTGTGACTGAAAGAACAAAGTTCTGAATATTTGAATCCATTAAAATGCAGTCAGATAAATTGGGATTGGAAACATCTAAATGAGCATGTATTTATTTTTTTCGAAATTACAAGCGTGCCATTTTAGTGGAAGCCGTATCGGATGTCAAATGAGAAAGTGAATGCAATATCGTTTTTGTTAAACAAAACCAGCATTGTTCAGGAAGATGCAATAAGATTATTGAATAATTTACAAAATTGACAGCAGTTAAATAGTACACAACCTTGCGACTTATGACATTCGGAGGATATTTATCTAAATGATATGCCAGCGATCTAGCATTAACAATATAATTTATATTCGTTTATGCAGGAAATTAGGTGAGAATTTCCGGTTTCGGTTGTTTCCGGTTTCGTTGTTTACAGAGACCCTTTAATGTTTACAAAATAGTGAGTTTTGAAGCAAAAATTAATTTTGAAAGTTGTCCCGGGAAAGCCAATTGAGTGCAATGTAAACAATTTCTAGCCCAGCAAGCAGGATAAAATCTCCTCATATATTAAACGCAAGCAAAATTCATACCGCTTACCGGGCCAATCCTGCTTCCATATAAAACAGCCCCGTAGAAATGTTTCTTAAAATATTTTTAAATTTTTCCCCCCAACCTTTTTAACTCTCAAATAGTTCATTACACATTTATTGGTTAGTGTTAGAGAAGGGGTTGGGGTCTGTTTATCCATACCTTATCTTAAATATTCCGACTACAGACAGTACAAATAGCAAATCAATTAACTCGGAGTACTGTTCCAGTACTTCGTATTTTAATAATATACAACTAAATGAACTAATGATTAAAAAGTAAACTAACCTTTAAACTGAAGAACTTGATTGGCTTGTATATATTGGTTTCTTCGTCATATAGTTCAATTGCTGTTGCTTGTAAATGTTTGATAAACCAGTATTGCGAAGTAGCGAAATTTCGGGCCGTCTTTCACAACAAATAACATCACAATAACTGCACATCTTCTTCTCTTTGATACAGAATCGTTTTCCCCGTCCATTGAGTTATAATTTACAAAACTAACCAGTCGCTATAACGTAAAATAAGCGGGTATTTGTGAACAAAAATGCCCTTTGATACAACACGAGGCAACTAGCGCCATCTTGTCTTCTCCAAACATTACAGATTTTCCCGCCAAAACCCGCCCGAAGTCCCGTATGTACCTGACGTCACAAGTGTCAGGAAATACCATATTTGGTGGTAAAATTTTTCAAAAATACGCACTAAATTCAATTTTAATCTCTTTACCTTCGCTACTTTTGCTTTCCACATATTGTTTGACCCAACCACGATTGTAACATAACAATGTTTGCTCGCTAAACATTTTAAAATCAACAAAAATACAGTATTATTATTAACTAGGAGTTACTATCGCAAGTAAAATGCTGCCGATATGTACATGCAGGATGTACTACAACCAAAAAGTGTCTTTTTCACTGTATGTATGATTTAATGTCTTACACATGTTCTACATCAATTACCTTCTACAATTGTATCCAGGGACGCCGGAACGATGTGAAGGCAAGGGTGGCAGATTTTGGTGAAAGGGCACTTTTGAATTGATATATACTAAGAGATGTTTGCAAAACATCGGGAGTTGAACTTCACCTAATCATGTTTTCTATATATTGGATGATAGGGGTGTGAGGGGGTTCTCTGCCAGGCGATTATGCTATTCTTGAAGCTCGATGACTGTATTTCTTGCGTTTTCTGAAGCAAATTAGTAAAAGAATTGCACTAACATTTCTGACAATTTGCTATTTTGCCAAGGCAATCCTTTAAATTGAAAGGACACCTTTGCCCCCCTTGCCCCTCCTGGTAAAGGGCAACGGGGGCGGCTGCCCTTCCTGCCCCCCCCCCAGTTCCGGCGTCCCTGATTGTATCTTACATCTCATCTTATAAAAAGTGCACTATAAAGTATAAACTTGGTGATCACATGTGTGAGTTTGCCACTGAATACAGAACAATGTTTATATAAAAATACTATAAAGTCGGTTTTTGTTCCAATTATCGTTTTACATGTAATGCCACCTTCATGGCTTCCCCTTCACAGACCAACCGAACAATCTGCCGATGGGTAGACAAAATGTATTTGCTGACATTTCTGTTTAATATGCTTCAGATGACACCATTCATTGACATGATTAAGATTGTTCTCAGTCAGAACTGCAAAAATATATGATAAGAAAGAAATTGTGAGCATTATCGTAGTGACACAGCCATATGTAGGCCACTAGAATTATTTCATATTATGCTAACAATGGACATATCTCAGATCTTATACAAAAGTCAGTTAAAATGTTAGTAATATTACATGTAATTGCTGGTAAGTCAATATATGTGCAGACAACATTTGTTTAAAGCTATAAACATCTAGAAATGGAACACTACAAACTCATTGCCTTTGCACATAATGGCAGATCACTGATAGTTGGTGCCTCAATGGGCTCCACCACAATGGGCAGAGCAGTCTGTAGGGTCGACCATAGGGTTTTGTGTACTGTATATAGGGTCCAATGGTACTTAATTCGAGTATACTGTATATTTACTTTAAATGTTATGACTAATTTGGGGTATTAGGTCTGGTATACAGCTTCTGATTGCTTTAGGTATTATGTAACATTTTGACCATAATAATAGGTATTTTGATCCATATTTATCAGCTCTTTAGGATACTACGACCCCCCCCCCCTGGCTGACCCCTAGTCTGATAGTTGGTGCCTCAATGGGCTCCATCGCAATGGGCAGATCAGAGGCGCCGGAATATCGATAATTGGGGGGAGGGCAGATATTCATATATTCGTGTTCTGCCCAATTAATTTCTTTTGAAGTCGATTGTTTTTACAGTCTGTGAACACGAATATATGAATATCTGCCTGCTATTATCGATTCTCTGGGGCAGATCGCTGATAGTTGGTGCCTCAATGGGCTAGACCACAGGCAGATCAATGGTTTTTGCCTCAATGGGCACTAGATACCACAATGGACAGATATATAGTTTTTGTCTCAATGGCCTCTACCACAATGGGCAGATCTATAGTTTTTGCCTCAATGGGCTCTACCACATTGGCACAATGGGCAGATGTATAGTTTTTGCCTTGAATGGGCTCTACCACAATAGGCAGATCAATGATATTTTTGCCTCAATGGACTCTACTACAATGGATATAGAATGCTATTATTTTGTCCTACCACCATGGGCAGACTGTTTATAGTATCATTATTTTGTGTATCAAAAGGATTCACAGGCGTTATAGTTGTTTTTGCATACACTACATGTGGTATATTTCTTGTGTCGATCACAGAATCACATATCTTGTAAGAAACATGTTTGTATACAACTTGAAACACTGACAAGTTTAGGTAAATTATCGACAGATAAGAATTCGACAGCAGGTTCTAAGACAGAGCTTACAAGTACATTTTGTCTCCTTGTAATAAGACGATTAAATGTTGTTTTTGACCAATCGATCAGTGGTATATTTTGGGCAGTTAAAAGTGCTGATAAACTCATAAAAGCACATTGTTTGCCTCTAGATTGAACACTAAAAATGTCATTGCCTGATGTATATAACAAGAAAAAAATAGAGCCGAACTTACCTGAATGTTTCCGAATATTTTTGATCTCTTGCTGTCTTGTGATCCGTATTTAAAAGCTTGAAAATCTTCGTGTTTTGACCGCTCCCCTCATTTAACAAACGTTCCTGAAGCTTAATTATTCCCCCCGGACTACGACAAACATCTTTACAGACAGACAGACACAAGATCTCGATCTCGACAATACATAACTCGCGCGAAAGACTGGGTCGAGTGGACTCTGGAGAAACCACCGCGTGTCAAGAATAGTGTGCTGCCTCGCTACGCTCGGCAGCAAATATGAAGTATTAATTTATTTCATAATTTATGCATGTTCTTCGGCAACTTCGTTCCCAGGTCTTCGGGCGAAAATCTGAAGTTGTCTGAGCCACTGAACTGTATACAGTATTGAATAGAAAGTAATTTTTTACATAGAAAACCTTACTTCATATAACCATGGATAATAAAATAAATGTTATTTTACAATCCATGATGTAACCTAGCTTGTTTTGGCTCGAATAACATGGCCGCTGAAATTTTCAAAAAAAATCATGCCAACAAAACTAGCTTCTTAGCACGTACATAGCATACCCTTTATAAAATGCTTAAAAAAAATGAAGCCAAAACCACCTGCATTGCATCGAGGGAATTACATTCTCCAAGGGGTGTTTCAAAATTGGGAAATTTGGCATCGGAATCGGAAAAAGTTGTTGGTATATCAAACTAGTCTGGTTCAATGCCTTTTAAGGCCCATCTACACAATGCGATTTTTGCTTATGATTGTTGTATGCAACTTGCTGACGCCATCCCTGCGACACAAATTGTGTGTGTAGATAGCCCTACAATTTAAAATCGTGCAACTTTCATACATTTTTTATGAAAAATAGTTCAAAATGGCGGACATCAACAATGACAGAAAGCGAAATTGGTACGCTTCCTGTTCAAAGTGTGACCAAGGCAAAGTAAAAAAAAAAGTAGAAAGAAGGTCTAATATATCTCTCAGTTGGAAATGACACATACAATAACCGTACCGTCTAGATAGACGACACAAAGTCGCAGGGATGGGGTCAGCAAGTTGCATACAACAATTGTAAGCAAACATCACATCGTGTAGACGGTCCATAGTAAGAAATTATTTGGCCCTCGACATCTGTTGTGGAAGATGGCTAGGAGTTTGCTGTATGACAGGGGCAGAGAGTTTTGAGGCAGTGGGGTCGATTGTTTTGTTAATGTTGCAATGTGGCGAGGGGGTTAATGACAGAGGGTGCCCCCTTGGACAACAGCCTGTGAGCGGTATTTAGCAAAAACAACACAAGCTAGCCGAAGTTGCTGAAATGATTAATACAGGTATTCTAGAATGATATAGGGTGCTGAAATGAAATTCCATGGTGTGGGGTAGAACTTTGCCTGACTGGAAAGTTTGTTAAATTCAATAGTAAATATCTAGAAAGCGTATAGAAATATCCGCTGATCTTCGTGATCAATCGTAAAACGTACCAAATGTGACATAAATGATTTTTTGATTAATTAAACTAATAATCGTGGTCGTACTAATTACCGACAACTACCATCAACAACTGACAACAAGCAGACTATTACTGACAACAAGCACAGAATTACTGTGACAATAAGCTGACAATTACCAACAACAAGCTGAAAAATACAGACAACCAGCAAATACATACTTTCATTGTATTCTTATAGTTATTTGTATGAATGCATGGCTGTTTTTGAGGAAACCCAAATACATACATGAATTGATGTAAATAATTTATAGCTTGTTTCTGTTCGTTACTATTAAACATTTTAGACACATTATACAGTATACACATACACACTTTATAGAAGTTGGTAGTTATATTATTATAGATAATAGGGTAGTTAATACTGATTTTCTACTTGAAATTTTGTTTCCTATCTATACTTTTATATGGTGTCTGCCTACGCGAATCCATCATCTTTAATAGCGGAATGTTTTAACTCAACAATGTTTGACAAAATCTGTCGAACTTATATATTTTGGGTTTCCTCAAAAACAACCAAATAACTATAATACAATGAAAGTATGTATTTGCTTGTTGTCGGTATTTTTCAGCTTGTTGTCGGTAATTGTCAGCTTGTTGTCGGTAATTTTGTGCTTGTTGTCGGTAATTAGTACGACCCAATAATCGTACTGAAGTATGGCACCCGATTCTTACATTTTGTAAAGTAGTAATATAAAATAGTTTTTTGCAATAGCTTTCAGCAATTCAGGCTGGTAGTGGATTCAGCAAAGGCGTTGTGTGTGTGTGCGAAGTGAAATGAGGTCGGGTCCGGGTTAGACTGTGAGCGGTCCCTCCTTTCCGCGGGTTTAGATTTCCGGGCACGAGATTGGAAAGGAGGGACTGCAGACAACACAGTAAGAAATGAAATCCCTGTTGCCCACACAACGGAAAATTCCCATTGGTCGAAATCGATATGCCTGTCAATCAAATCTGATATGTAATAATTATGCTATAAATAATTTCCAGAATAAATGTTGATTTTATACAGGGTGTGTCAAAATAAAAGTAATCAAACGTCAGCGCGCTATTGTGTCTGAATTACTGCGTATGAACGAGATTTTTTCATCTTCGGAAAGACCAGGCTTTTAGCTGTTGAATGATATGTTCTTCATACCAAATGGATAAAAAATAAGCAAGTATGAGTCTGATAAAAAATGCTAGTCAGATCGCATATTTTTACCGTTGTAATATGCGATTCTGACTAACATTTTTTATCGGACTCGTACTTGCTTACTTTTTCTCCATTTGGCATGAAAACATGTCATTCAACAGTTAAAAACCTCATCTTTTCGAATATGAAAAAAAAGTTCATACGCCGAGTAATTCACGTACAATAGCGCGCTGAAGTTCGATTACCTTTTTTTATATACCCTGTATTAAAATAAACATGACGTTAACGGTTTCCTATTGGATAGATTTAATTGGATATAGTAATGTTTATGCAAAGGCGGAGCCAATTTGACAAGAGGGAAAAGTGGGCGTATTTCGTTTCTTGCTGTGTTGTCTGAGGTCCCTCGTTTCTTCGAGGGACCACTCGCGGTCTAGGTCCGGGTTTAGTTTTAGCCGTCGGTTGTCTGTTTGACTTAGAAATTTTTCTTAAAATATTTTAAAAAAAATTTCTCGAAATAAAAAACTTTCAAATAAGTTTATTAGGCCTTTATTGGTTAGGGTTAGAGAAGGGTTTGGGGTTGGGTTTACCTTAAATATTACGATTGCAGTACGAATAGCAAATCAAACTCGGCGTACTGTTCCAGTAAGAATAGACCAGTGTGCATTCCACGCCTGATATATCCGGCGTGAGGTTACAAAATTGTTGGCGTAATATCACTCGAAAACAAGTTATTAGTTTGTGCCTGATTTCATGACCACATGTAAATTGACAGTATAACTACACGAATATGATGTTCACATGCAGTACATATTAAAAACGCACCATATTAGCTATTTTTAAAACATGGAAGTCCCCAAAATTAAAAATCTCCAATGTATTGGCGTGAAGGATCGTACATGTTGGCGCATCTCCGGCGTAGAGTTTACATGGAATGCACCCTGGCGAATCTAGCCACTTCGTAAGTTTTTACTAGTATCCAGTACTTCGTAATTCGTATTAATATACAACTAAATGAACTAATTATTAAAAAGTAAACTAACCTTTAAACTGAAGAACTTGATTGGCTTGTACACATTGGTTTCTTTGTCATATAGTTCAATTGCTGTTGCTTGTAAATGTTTGATAAACCAGTACTGCGATGTAGCGAAATTTCGGGCCCTCTTTCACAACAAATAACATCACAATAACTGCACATCTTCTTCTCTTTGATACAGAATCGTTTCCTCGTCCATTGAGTTATAATTTCCAAAACTAACCAGTCGCTATGACGTAAAATAAGCGGGTATTTGTGAACAAAAATGCCCTTTGATATAACACGAGGTAACCAGCGCCATCTTGTCTTCTCCAAACATTACAGATTTTCCCGCCAAAACCCGCCCAAAGTCCCGTATGTACCTGACGTCACAAGTGTCAGGAAATACCATATTTGGTGGTAAAATTTTTCAAAAATACGCACTAAATTCAATTTTAATCTCTTTACCTTCGCTACTTTTGCTTTCCACATATTGTTTGACCCAACCACGATTGTAACATAACAATGTTTGCTCGCTAAACATTTTAAAATCAACAAAAATACAGTATTATTAAATATGAAGTATTAATTTATTTCATAATTTATGCATGCTCTTTGGCAATTTCGTTCCCAGGTCTTCGGGCGAAAATCTGAAGTTGTCTGAGCCACTGAACTGAAAACAGTATCACAGAGTAGAAACATACAGAGACGTAACTAGTGTACCCACTTTTTTTGGGCGCATGCTTGGCAAGTTACTAGATGCATGCTTCTGATTGGATGACGACCTGATGACGACTCACTTTAAACTTGCTGAGCACGCGCAGTTGATCATTTTTCGCCCGGTCGCCTGAAAAAAAGTGGGTACATGATAACGTAATCTTCCGCAGTGTTTACAACCGTCAGTTACGTCTCTGTATGTCTTATCTACTCTGTGACAGTATTGAATAGAAAGTAATTTTTTACGTAGAAAACCTTACTTCATATAACCATGGATAATAAAATAAATGTTATTTTACAATCCATGATGTAACCTAGCTTGTTTTGGCTCGAATAACATGGCCGCTGAAATTTTCAAAAAAATCATGCCAACAAAACTAGCTTCTTAGCACGTACATAGCCTATGCTTTATAAAATGCTTAAAAAAATGGAGCCAAAACCACCTGCATTGCATCGAGGGAATTATATTCTCCAAGGGGTGTTTCAAAATTGGGAAATTTGGCATCGGAAGCAGAAAAAGTTGTTGGTATATCAAACTAGTCTGGTTCAATGCCTTTTAAGGCCCATCTACACAATGCGATTTTTGCTTACGATTGTTGTATGCAACTTGCTGACGCTGTTTTGAACAGTTGACATTTTTATTACTTTATAGTATTATAGTTTAATTAAAGTTCCGTTAAGTTAAGTTAATTATTAGCAACCTCTAGATTTATATGTCATCGACGCATGTTATGTAATTTAAGACGAGACATTTTAAGTCGAGATATAGAAAAGCTAAAATGAGTCACGCTTTTAACAGAGCAAGTAAAACGATTTTATAGCGAGTTCGAGCGTGAGGCTATGTGTAACATAAGGCATTCACCCCTATATCAGTGTAAGATAAGGTTTATACCCCTGCCCCTATGTGTAACATAAGGCATTCACCCCTATATCAGTGTAAGATAAGGTTTATACCCCTGCACCTATATGTAACATAAGGTGTCCACCCCTATATAAGTGTAAGATAAGGTTTATACCCCTGCCCCTATGTGTAACATAAGGCGTTCACCCCTGCACCTATGTGTAACATAAGGTGTTCACCCCTATATCAGTGTAAGATAAGGTTTATACCCCTGCCCCTATGTGTAACATAAGGCATTCACCCCTATATCAGTATAAGACAAGGTTTATACCCCTGCCCCTATGTGTAACGTAAGGTGTTCACCCCTATATCAGTGTAAGATAAGGTTTATACCCCTGCCCCTATGTGTAACATAAGGCGTTCACCCCTATATCAGTGTAAGATAAGGTTTATACCCCTGCCCCTATGTGTAACATAAGCCGTTCACCCCTATATCAGTGTAAGATAAGGTTTTTATCCCTGCCCCTATACGAAACATAAGTTGTTCACCCCTATATCAGTGTAAGATAAGGTTTATACCCCTGCCCCTATGTGTAACATAAGTTGTTCACCCCTATATCAGTGTAAGATAAGGTTTTTATCCCTGCCCCTATATGAAACATAATGTGTCTTACCCCTGCCCCTATATGAAATATATAAGCTAACCTGGGGACGTTTTCACTGGATACCCTACAGTATATCAGTCACTTGTCGGTAATAATAATCTGCTTGTTGTCGTATTAAATACGGGTAGTTGCCGTGATATAAACACTTTAATTGGGTTTTTATTTAATTTTATGTTCTTGCAAAGCCTGATTGCTGTATCTTGATCATTTATTATGCACCTATCAATGTTAACCCCGAGGGGGCGGGGGTCGGGCAAAGGGTGGGGATTTGATTAATCAGGTGGTCCCATGGGTCGGGATTTGGACTGACACTTTTTTTCTAAGTGGCCCGAGGGTGGGGATTTTTGACAGATTAACACTGATCTCAGACGATATACTGAAGAAACCTGAGCCAATTTTAGAACAAACTCTGACTCGTCCCCAGTCGCCCGCTGTAAAAAGGGACTGTGGAAGAGTCAGGAACAAAGTGAAGACTGGGCACTAGTTTATCGCTCGCTGTCTTGCGCGTTGTTTTTACAAGAAATATGGAGATTTCTGGACAAGAAATAAACACTTATAATCCATTTTATAATTATATTAATATCGATTTATACTTATATGTTAAAAGTTCACATTATGTACTATTTAAAACACGAGTACGAGTGTGTTTTATCAGATATAAAACGCGAGGGTCACAACTTAAAATACGACTACAAAAGAATACTAATTAGGGCGAACAATTATATAAGAATACTGACAATATAATTATATAAGAATACTGTGTTTTATTAGCCTGCGTTCCAGTCCACTACACCGTGGTGTAGCGGACTGGAACACAGGCTAGTGTTTTATCAGATATTATAAACTCACTTCACGTGACATAATATGGCTGACATGATTTGCCGCAAGGTATATGAATTATTAATGAGTATTTTAAGTTATTTTGAAACGTTCTTTATATTTGTTATACTTTTAAATTATACCGCCAAATGTAGTTGTGTAATTTCCTTATCACCTGACATATAGATTATAGAGTGCACCAGAAACCAAATACCTCAGGAATACAATTTCATCCCGGGGGTGGGGAATTTTGCCCAGGAATTTTCTCCCGAGGGAGTGGCATTTGACATTTTTTTTTGTAAAAATGTCAAATCCCCACCCCTTGCCCGACCCCCCCTCCCTCGGGGTTCACATTGATAGGTGCATTATACTGTAGAAGCATGAAAATATAAATATTTTCCGAATATTAAAGTTCAATCACGTACCCTACCTTTAAACAAAAAAATATTACCGAAAACGTTTTAAAAACTTACCATTAAGACAGGCAGTTCTTTCATTGAAACGTTGTCTCTTTATCCATAGTCGAATTTCCAGTACAGCGTTTTAGCGAATTTTCCGGCCGTCTTTCACAACACATATAAACATCACAATATAAAGTCAATATAAACTGCACATATTTTTCTCTTTACCACAGAATCGTTTTCCCTGTCCATTAAGTTATAATTTCCAAAACTAACCAGTTGTTATAACGTAAAATAAGCGGGTATTTGTGAACAAAAATGCCCTTTGAGTCACACGAAGTAAACCGGCGCCATCTTGTCTTCTCCAAACATTACAAATTTTCCCGCCAAAAACTCTCTTTGGTGAGGGCGAAGTCCCGTATGAGACTGACGTCACAGGTATCATTGGGCATGCGCACTATACTTGTTGGTCAAATTTTCAAAAAATAGGCACTAAATCCAATTTTAATCTCTTTATTTTCGCTTTCCACATATTGTTCGACCCAACCACGATGGTAACACAACAATTTTTGCCCGCTAAACATTTTAAAATCAACAAAAATATTATATATGAAGTATTATTTCATAATTTATAAAAATAATGCTCTTCGGCCCAACATCGGGAAAATCCGAAGTTGTCTAAGCCACTGAGCTATATACGCTACTGGTTGTTTGTCTGTCTGTTTTTCACGTTCGTACATTACTTCGTGTAACCAAGCTTGTTCTGGCTTGAACAACATGGCCGCTCAAATTTTCAAAAAAATCATATAAATTTATAGGTATAAACATAGATGCCAAGTCTCACGCATTAAGCGTGTGACACACGCCTCAGCATTATTTCTCACGCTCACACGCTTCAGTTTGATTATCTCACGCATAAGCAGAAAGTTAGCTGAGAAGCTAAAATGTAGAGAAATAATGGTGATGGTAAAATGTTTGAACTAAGGGACCGGTCATTATTTATGGCGGGGGGTGGCACTGAAGAGAAATGTTTTCCGTGTCAAAAATTTTGCTGACCCAACCATTAAAAAGACAAAAATTTGATTACCCAACCTCAAATATCAATTAAAAAATAACTACCCACCCCTGGCCAAAAACTTAACAAAAGGATACCATTCAGTTGTCATGCATGTCCTTTATCACTTCAGTGACATGAGTTTGATAACGGCTTGTGAAATTTTCTGCAGTCTAAAGTTTCATGTTGTCTGCACATGTACTTTCTTTGGAAACACAATTTGTTTTGTCAAACTATGATCAAGATAGTGACTCTGATTGATTCACATATTGTATTGACAAATGACTGTTGACATTGCTTTTCAGTCTCCAATATTTCAGTGGGTCATGCTTTGGAAATGACAGTAAATTTTTATTACCCAACCCTTGAGTTGTTTTGTTTTTCATTTACCCAACCTTTTACTTACTCAAAATTTTGTTTACCCAACCCTTTTCTCTTCGGTGCCACCCCCCACCATAAATAATGACCGGTCCCTAATTTCTTTTGGTATATTAATTAAAGCTATCAATAATATCAGACTTTATCGTGTTTCCTTGTGTATTTAATAATGTCGGACATTGCAATCAACACACTACTTCAGGATATAACCTGAGCGCATTTTTTAATCTCTATTGCATCAAGCGATCAATTATACGGCTTACGTTTGACGTACTTTACGGTAGGCGAGGCTATTACTCAGCCCCGCTAAATTATTTATAAAGCAGTTATTATAACTGATGTAAAATCTAAAGATGCATAAACATATTAAGATATATGCGTATAAGTATACAACTATAAACTAAAATGTAAACTCCAATTATTGACTTTTAACTACAATATAATATTCCTAAAATAAATATATATAAATGATCTTTTAAAATTTTACTCTTGGAATTGTAGTTTTTGTTTTGACTAATATTGCATTTGCACATGTTTTCACATGCCATTATTACTAATACTTGTTAAACATTGTGCCTAACACAAAATGTACCTCTGAAATATTGTTTTTGAGAACCAAAAATAACACCCAAATATGTTCTCAGAACGCTGGAAATGCCGTTTCCGAGACCCAAATTTCAAAAATGTTCCGGGGGGGAATGCCCCCGGACCCCCCTACGGTAGCTGCGGTGTGTTCATCTCACGCGTGGACAAAACACAACCTTGGCATCTATGTAGAGGGTCCTGAAGGGAGGGTCGTATTCCCATTTCCCAACCCTAATTTTGACTAAATCCCATTGTCCCAGAGCATAAATCCCATCATCTCAGTGGCTGTCCTGCTCAAATCTTAATCCCATTCCCATTTTCTATTGTTTTGTTGCTGATGAATCCCAGTCCCAATGCATGAATCCCATTTTCCCACCCAAAAATAAGCAAATCCCAGTTCCCATTTTAACCCTTCTGGACCCTCTATGTATAAAGCGTAATACTCGATGTAGAGGCTAGTTTCCACTCAGCAAAATTATCCGTGGATTGGAACGGACAAGAGAATTTTCTGGGTTTGGTGGGGGTTGTGTTTTAACTCTAGCACTTAAAATGCGCACAAAGTTTGCCTGACTCTACTATCTAGCGATATTGTGTAGCTCATTATGTATGCAGGCTCGCTAGAAAGCAAAGTGAGGCGAACTTTATGCACATTTTTTAATGTTTTTTTAACACAGTTTTAAGTGAATACATATATTTCCTGGACTTCCTGTGTGCCAGGCTCAACATAAAACTATAAAAGGGTGTTCACTATTTAGGGGGGGGGGGGTATCACACCCCGCTTCAGCCCCTTCTCATTCACAATTACATTAGCCCACCCCAACCCATTTCCCAATCCAACCGGCCAACCCTCCCTCATCAATATTAAGCGTTTCCTCCTAATGGAACTTTTGCGAGAGTATGTCATGAAAGTACAAACATTACTTTTTTTGGTAGCTACTTTACAGTGTTCTGGGAATAGACTAGATCAGTGCCTATATAGATCAGGAAATTTAATTGTCTGGCATTATATTGGTTAGAAAATTTTAATTTATTATCTGCAACTTTGTATTTCTGCAAAATTGAGTCATTGCAAAAAAGTAGAGCCTATCCCGTCTATCCCCAAGTAGTGTGCTCGGCAATTTTTAAAAGCGAGCTGCCATCCAATGGGATGCATGCATCATGGGATGCATGCGTCATCCAATGGGATGCATGCATGGTCGGCGCTCTTTTTTATACAGAGCAACTAAATTATGGAATGATTTAGACAATAACATTAAAGATAGTTCAAGTATTGGAGTTTTTAAAAAAACTAGTAAGAGAGATACTGCATAAAGAGTGCTGGAACAACTCAAAATAATTTTATATTTTTAGAATATTATCAATAGTTGGTTTATTATACCCTAAACAAATGTATATTTTGACATATTAGTATATAATTTATATAAGTCTTCTAATAAACTCATGTAAATACTTATTTAATCTTCATTTTACAATTGTAATTATTTCTGAAAAGCCATTTTGGAGAAATAAATTAATAATAATAATGCATCTAGTAACTTGCCGAGCACACACACAAAAAAAGTGGGTACACTAGTTATAACTCTGTATGTATCTACTCTGTGGTATGGATGTTGCATGGAATAGTCTACCCTCTGAACTTTTACGAGTGGTAGATGAATCTCAATCTATTTCTTCTTTTCGTAGGTTAATTAAAAATTATTATGAAACTTTGTAATAGCTTGTATATTATATAATAATAATAATAATAATAATGGATGTTTTCTGGAATGATCAATTGTAAAAGGTCTAGAACACATGCAACCCTGAGGCAACAAAGTCTTTTGGATCAAACACATTTATTTCATCAAAACAATTAGTTTGGATTGATAAAAACATATTTTGAAAAAATTTTAAAATTTTGGTCAAATTCTGTGATACAGTAGTCATGGCTTACTTCTGTTCCTGTAACCTGGAATACTTGAATTCTGTTGGACAATTTATTAAAAAAACCTATTATGTATTTGAATGTTTATTGACAAGGATTATTTAACAAACTAGAAATGTTATGCAAAATATTAGTACAGTAGCAGGTAAAAAGTAGAACGACTTAGAGAACACAATGATTTTCGTGCCAGAGTTCTGTCTCTTGGTTTTTATGCGTTTCTGACATGGAGATGTTTTAGTTTTGTGTTTTTTATTCATTTGTCCATCCAGTACTACAGTCTGCATTGTCAATGATAACATCTTTACGACTTTAGTGTGCCTTTACACAATTTACACCATGAGAATTTCATACAAAAGAGGCTGCCAGGTTCATTGATAAAATTTGACTACAATTCTTTCAATTTAATCTTCATAAACCATTGTACACAGTTTGAGAGGACTTCTGTTTTAGGAGTTTTGTCACAGCTTGTAAAAGAGAAAAACAGTGAAAATGAGTATATTACGCAGTTTGGAATTTATCCAGTTTTGTGTGGACATTAAGCTGTGATGTATAATAACACATACCTTCTTTCTCTTCATCATCTAAAGTACCCCTTGGAAAGTCCACATCAAATGTGATAAATAAATCACCAAATAAATTATTGTTATCATAACTGGGCATTCCTTGTTCTTTCTTTTTAATCGTTGCCCCAGGCCAAGTTATTTTTTCTCGTGTCACACGAACCTCGAATAAAAAGTTACATAGTCAGTTTCTTTATTGTATATTGGCTTGCACTGTTTATATTTCAGATGCACGAGAAGACAGTTGCTTAAAACGTTGAAGTTGTGCTTGTATTTTGCAGGTAGTCGATTTTAATTTCGATTTTACAAGCTTTGTCACAACATTAACATTACAAAACAATGTTTGTGATATGTTACTCTGAGTGTGTATCCACACAGGGCAAGCTTGAAAAATATGCCTTGGCACGGTGGGAATTGAACCTACGACCTTTGGAATACTAGCCCAATGCTCTGCCAACTGAGTTACGCAGTCAGGTCAGTTTGAGTGTGTGATATTTCGGAACTGAGTGTAGTTCCTTCGATATCAATGCAATCTAGTAATCATGATTTTTTTCTGTGTTGGTGTAATGTACTCAGGTGAATAAGATGTTTGTGATGTTACTCTGTATAACACGAACACAGAAAAAATCATGATTACAAAACGAATAACAATTAATGAAATATATAACATTACAAACACAAGCTTCTGGCCAATTACTGTGACCCCAAAGTTGTATCCCCCCAGTACATCCAGTGTGCTGATGTTGTTAGAAATACAGTAGCATACCTTATGGCCATCTAAGTGTTGTATGTCCATCTCGAAACCATTCAATGCATCGACAAGAGAGACAGTCACATTTGTGTACAGAGTCATTCCATCTCTGTAGAACCTGGGATGCCTTGAATAATAATACTTCATATTAGGCACTGTAAAACTATGAATGTGAAACTATGAATTACTTGTCAACACGAACATCACCCGTAAATTGGTGTCAGTAACTAATTTTGTCTACATGTGTACAAAGGAAAACAAATTACTTAAAGATTGCAGTACCATAAACCAAGCGCAGATTTTCATTTTTTTAAAGGGAGGGGAGGAAAAATTTCTAGTGGGGTATAGCAAGCGGCAGCACTGAGCAAGCTTTGGCAGGGGTTAGGCATTAGGGCAAAAGACTTTCACACAAAATGGGAGGGGTGAAGCAAAATATTGGTGGGGTTGAACACTTTATAACCCCCCCCCCCCAGCAAATACAGATTTTAGTCCAGTTTTCCTTCGGCAATCTGACGAATGTGTTGACAAAAATGTTGCTTGCTCGCTAATACATATAATAGAATGAACCCTAAAAGGTGGTGGATAATGTATTGGGTCATTCCAGAAAACATCCATACCACCCCCACAGAGGAAATAGGAACTTAACCTCCCTACACCCTTTGGATGTCCTAATACATTTATTATTATCAGAAACAATTTTTTCTCCCCTCCCCCTCCGGACGGCAGAAATTTCCTCTGTGGGGGGAGTATGGATCTTTTCTGGAACAACCCATTGTTCATCAGAGACTGATGGTCACAACTTACCTCTGTTCTTTTATTATAAATTTCAAATCACCAGGATCACCATCAATATGTGGTTCACCTGAAATACAATAAGATCACGATACACACAACTGGCAATTTTTGTAATTTTATGCATTATATAGGCTGATGTGAGACCTTGTCTATTACAGGTGTAGTACTTTCAATATTTATACGCAATCAAATAATTAATAATTGAAATTTTTAATGACTACCTTCACCAACAAATCTTGAACACTCTTGTCCGTCGATCATTCCTGGTTCAATTTCGACTTCCAATTTCTTCATTTTGTTCACATACTTAACAGCGGGGCATTCATCGCAGACTTCTTCTTGCGCCATTTGAAAACGACCGGGTCCTAGTTGTGTTGTTCTCATTTCTTGTCGGCAGTTACATTTTCTTGTACCAGGGATTGTCTCAGATTCCGGTTTATATCGCATCACCTGGGTTTGTTACATTAGTAAATAAAAAGTATCAAGGCATAGAAGAGACAAAACCACATCTGCACAATTCATGAGTTTCAAAGCATGTGTCTGTACAAGGCAGTCACCTACATGTATCTAAGCACTAATGCCTTTATATAAATATCTTTTAGGAAATCATTCATAGTAGCATTTGACCTTCAACAATTTTTACATCCATACCAGTAATTAGTTAGTTAGAATTTCATGTTAGTATATCTTATAATTTTTTGTAAATGTTAATTGGCTCCGAAAAGAGAGTTCAATAAATTATTGTATTTATTTATATTGTATTGTAATGCCTTATCATAGACATAAAGCTCTGATCAAATGAGAATTGATGAGAATTGTGAAGCGAGAGTTTGCATGAGAGTTGTCCCAACTTATATGGGCCCAGTCAAACGCGAAGAGGAGTTGCATATAGCGGAAAGTCTTATAAACGCTCGTTAAAATTTAAACCAGTTCAAAGTCAATGAGAGTTGAATGAGATTCTCGTGCATGAGAGTCAAATACAAGTGAATTCTCATGCTTGTTTGGCTACTTGTGTAGGTATGGTAAACAATGCGTCAAATACCTCAATAAATTCTCCAGTATATAACTCCTCTAACGTCACATCAAGGTCCATTACTATATCAGCTCCCTTGGGAGTATCTCGTCGATGGGAGTGATCAGAACCACCAAAGTGAAAGTTGAACCCACCAAAAAAACTACAAATGTTAAGTTTGAATGTATTAGAAATTAACTTATTAAGAGGCAATGCACTTTCTTATGCATCCTGGAATTGGCAAAGGGTTACATATGTAAAAACACACTTGTAAGTTGTAATAACCCTGCAGTAGACCAACCTCGCACCCAGGGTATTTGCTCTTGGGGAGCAAAATACCCTGGTATGGCCTGGTCATGTGACCCGCGGATTTTGCGTAAAATGGCTTATTGTTTACTAGGGTCGGGGGAGTGAGTATACATTGTCACTCCTAGTAATTAAAATTTAAAAGCGTGATATAATTACTAGGAGTGACAATGTATATTTATTACTCACTCCCCCGACCCTAGTAAACAATACGCCATTTTACGTAAAATCCGCAGGTCACATGACCAGGCCATACCAGGGTATTTCGCTCCTCAAGAGCAAATACCCTGGGTACAAGGTTGGCAGTAGACTTGAACCAACACTAACAACTTGTCAACAGGATGTGTTCGCACTGTTTGTTCCCAGCTTGTTGACGAGATGTAAATGGCTTGTTACAACGTTGTTGAGCTCAACAGACTTGTTACAAGTTGTTCCACACCAGACGATCGTCTTGTCAAGGGGAGAGCGATGCTGCTCAACTTTACAGTTAACTTCAGCACAATAATCTGGTGTCCCAATAAACATATACAGCACATCATGGTGGTTAAATTCATGGGCGGGGGGGTAGCCCCCCCCAGTTTTTTGGGCAGTCGGGCAATATTCGCTGAACAGTCGGGCAATTTTGGTTAATTAAAAAAATAAATGGGACAAATTCTATAAATTTTGCGGAAAATATTGTGAAATTTGCCAAAATTTTGTAGGTTCCGGACAATTTTGGTAGGTCCGGAAAAATTTTTGACCCCTAAAATGGTACACTGGCCAAAACAAATTCCGGAAAAAAATTTTTGGGTAGTTGTCGGGCAAAATCCGGAAAAGTCGGGCAAATTTCTTGCCGCCCCCCTAAATTTTTCCTTCCGGTACGCCCATGGTTAAATTCAATATTATATTTCACATGTACCTGTTAAAAGAATCAAAAGGATCATGTCCATTTTCTCCCGCCATCTTCTTCAACCCTTCCTCTCCATGGGCATCATAAATTTTTCTTTTCTCATCATCAGATAAAGCCTGTCAAACAAAATTAAAAATTGGAACATCTCTATTGAATAGCAATCCTCAGGTTCTTATCTTGAACTTATCAAAATGTTGGAAGGCTGATGAAAAATGTTGAAAAGATCCACACTCCCCCCACGGAGGAAATTTCTGCCATCCGGAAGGAGGGAAGAAAAATTGTTTCTGATAATAGGAAATGTATAAGGACATTCCAAGGGGATAGGGGGGTTAATTTCCAATTTCCTCTGTAGGGGTGGTATTGATGTTTTCTGGAATGACCCAATCACAGAATAGACACACAGAAGGTCAACTCGCCAAAAAAGCATAACCGCTGCCACGCCATGATTCATCATCAAAATGCCGATGCCATGGGCTATAACCATACACTTATGAGAATATGAGAGGCATTTCCCCCCAGGATGTCTGCCATTTTGGATATTATCAGACAAGTGAATGCCTCTATCTCATAAGCACATTGGCTGGCATCTGCATTTTGACGACGAATTACAGTTACGCCAAAATCATAGGAAAAACCAAGAAGTCAGGCTTCTGTATGGTCTCTATTCTGTGCCGCAGTCTGGAAGTACACCAGCTGCAGGGTATGCCGAATAACAAATTAACCACCAAATGACAGTATACTTCCTAAGGGGAGGTAAATTATGTTAATTAAATAACACATTAAATTTACTCCCATCATGATAACCTTACTTATTGATTTATTTTAATAAATAAGTTCAGGTTATCATGATAATGCACATATCAACGGCCTGCCCGGGGGGTACACCCCCGGGACAACCGGGGGGAAACGAGGGGGAATTTGGTATTTTAGCCGTGTATTCTGCCCGTGAACCCCGGGGAAATTACAAACTTCGCAATAATAGGACGATGGGGGGAGGGAAGTAGGGGACTTTGACATGACAATTTGAATTTTATAAATGAAGTGAACAATTGGTGCAAACTCAAAATCGCAGGCTCACGAAGAAAAATATCGATCGCCAACTTATTATTTATGATATTTTGTAGTTGTCTTGCTAAAATGTGAATAAATAAATACAGAATAGATGAGTGCCATTGTGATACCCCAGTTTGTATGATAATTTCAGGGTGTTAGCCAGAAAAAACCGTTTTGTCTGTTCAACGTAAATTGGGAAATTTTTTTTTTGACCGATCAAAGTCCTTGTGTAGGAATAAATAGTGTTTTTTCCAACGTGTTTCTTCTTAGATGCAAACAACAGTGGCTTGGTTTTTTCTATTTCATTTCCGGTGAATGAACACGGATGCACACCGATGCAGGCACTTTGTTTTGTACATTTCATTTCAGTGAATACACACCCAATATGAATGAAACGTGATACATTTTGAGAAAATAGTTAATGGAAAAAGTAAATAAAACGTTTTTTGATATAATAATATAAAATCAAATGCAATGCACTTTCTCATCAGAAAAAAATGAAAATCTTCCAGTAGACCCAGTTGGGAAAGCCCCTTAACTACTTCAATTGGGAAGAGTCCGTCAAACGGACGGACAGTATATGGGCTAGCTAACACCCTGAATTTTTAATTGTTTGTATGCTATTTATAATATGAACTACTTTATTCTAAGCCCCAGGGGGAGGGCAGTTTGACTTACACATTTCCCGGGGGAGGGAGGGGGAATTAATGCATTAGAATCATGTTTTTTCAAAGTCCCGGGGTGTCCCGGGGGTGTACCCCCAGGGCAGGCCGTTGATATGTGCATAATAATAAATTTATAGTCATTCGCCAAAAATTTAAACTTAATTGAATTTATATAAATTACTTACGAAAATTTAATTAATAGTAGCTGCCTAATCTATAGCAAGGGTTCATCGCATACCTCATAAGCTGTGCTCAAATCGTGAAACATTTCATGAGCTTTTTCATCGTCTGGGTGTTTATCCGGATGCCATTTCATTGCAAGTTTTCTGTAAGCTTTCTTAATTTCTTTCTTACTAGCATTTCTTGTCACTCCTAATATCGCGTAAAAATCCTTCCTAAAAACGAAGAGATCATCTCAAATTAATAACAAGTATTTTTTGATGAAGGGAGATTATTCCCTGCAACTTACCCAGCTAAAATCTGTAAACAAAAGCCTAAAACAAGTAGAAAAAGTCGCCACTTTCTATCAAATTTGGCCGCCATCTTTACTTTGGCGTCACAGAGGAACACACGGACGCAAAACTGACCAATCAGAGAACTGCACCTGTCAAAGTTCAAGGTGGGCATCTGGGATAAAAATGCCGGTAAGGGGCAAAAATCACGCAGTGTGGCAGGTGTTTTGGAACCGTCATCAACGGGGATGGGATGTGGGAACCAACTCTGTAATTCTTTCACAACTGAAGACAAACTACACACGCAAAAATGAAAAATCTCACATCTTGTAGCAAGTCTGCCAACAAGCCGTCGACAAGTTGTCTTCGCACTGCTTGTCACAAGTTGTCAACAAGTTTGGAACAAGCTGTTAACAATTTGTAACAACTTTGTTGATAACATCAGACTTGTTGCAAGGTTGTTCCAACAAGTCCGATACAGTCATATTGTTACAACCTTGTGTTGTCAATCTTGTAACATACTTGTTATATCATAACTGTATCAGACTTGTTAGAACAACCTTGTTACAAGTGTGATAATGACATCAAGCTTGCTACAAATTTTTAACACCTTGTTCCATTCAACTTGGATGGTTATGCCGTTGACTGTCTTCGGCATAACCATTCAATTTGGATGGTTATGCCGTTGAATGTCTTCAGTATAACCATTCAACTTAGATGGTTATGCCGTTGACTGTCTTTGGCATAACCATTCAACTTGGATGGTTATGCCGTTGAATGTCTTCGGCATAACCATTCAACTTGAACATGTTGTACGTATGGCAAACGCTTTTGCACAAAATATACTTTTTGAGTCTATAAATAATTACGGTTACAATATTTTCTAGTTACAAATTTTCTGACTAAAATACATAAAATTGCAAGGAATATTATTTGTTTATTTTGATATTTATGGTGCGTTCGACATTACTCCACGTGTGACGTCACATGACGTTCCAAAATGTCAGACTATCGAGACAAGTATTTGTGACACAGCATAAGGACAAGAAAAACACGTGAACAAATGAGTTTATCACGTGAACAGATAAGTTTGTCACGTGAACAAATAAGATTGTCACGTGAACAGATAAGTTTGTCACGTGAACAGATAAGTTTGTCACGTGAACAGATAAGTTTGTCACGTGAACAAATAAGTTTGTCACGTGAACAGATAAGTTTGTCACGTGACCAAATAACGTCATGTCACGTGAATGTGGTGTCGGATGTGAATGCAGCAGCGAGACGAAATTCATCTCCAGCGAGTACACAGTACATGCGCTGAGGACATTGTCTTGAGTTCTTGCCTGGATAGCTCGCAATCGTTCGCAAGATAAACTCACGACCAGCTGGAACAGGAAATGGTCGTGATTGCTTAGCAACTGGTTTCTATAGAGACAAAGTATTAGTTATTACTGGAGCACAGACCAGGGCCGCAGGTGTGATTCCTGCCAGAGGTCCTATAGTTGTATTTTTCGCAACTGCTCCTGATGAAGTCTAATCAATGTATAAAATTTACTTTTACCTCAATTTCATGATTATCATAATCTTGCTCTTGTCCTCTCAATATCTAAAACATTCATATGAAACATTCATCTTGGATGGTTATGCCGTTGACTGTCTTCGGCATAACCACTCAACTTGGATGTTTATGCCGTTGATTTGTCTTCGGAATAACCATTCAACTTGGATGGTTATGCCGTTGAATGTCTTCGGCATAAACATTTGACTGTCTTCGGCATAACCATTCAACTTGGATGTTTATGCCGTTGATTTGTCTTCGGTATAACCATTCAACTTGGATGGTTATGCCGTTGAATGTCTTCGGCATAACCATTCAACTTGGATGGTTATGCTGTTGGCTGTCTTCGGCATAACCATTCAACTTGGATGGTTATGCTAAAATATCTAAAACATTCATATTACCTTCCCAGTGTATTGGTGGAAAATTAACCAATCAGAATGACATATTTCGAGTCAACTACAAACCAGTACAATTACCTCTTGCTGGGAAAACAACCCCTTGATCACATGACCCATAGGTCCACGACTTGCTCCGACAACGTTGACCTCTGGTTTCTCCAATAATGACGCAATGAACGCCTCGGTATCAATGTCTGGCTTATTTACTTCTGATGTTTGCAGTTTGCACTTCAATGACTGCGCGCGCGCTATCTTTAATTCAATACTACGAAGCTCTTCGAACAAATCCTACAGAAAACAAATGAGTCATATCGTCATAATGATATGTATATTTCAAACTTACTAAATTATCCCACCTTATATAAAGTCAGCTGTTCCTGTGACGTGTCGAAAATTCGACTTGCTCTCTTTATAATGCGATCAATAATAGTGCTTGAACGAACAGCGTCATTGCCTCCTGTAAACATAAAAAAGCCAAATTATTCTCAGTTCTGTTCTGTTTGATCGTGCCATAGTCATAGATGACTCATACACATGCAAAAATCTCACATCTTGAAAAGCAAGTCTGCCAACAAGCCGTCATTCCGTCAACAAGTCTACAAGTTTAGAACAAGCTGTTAACAACTTGTAACAAGCTTGATGGCGTTATCAGAATTGTTGCAAGGTTGTTCCAACAGATGAGTACCCAATCATTGCATACCTGCGTTTTCTATGCGTCGTATTGAGGCTTGAAGTACAGTGGAAATAAGTTCAGTAGCAACTTCGGCTGGTCGTAACCCAGATAAATAATGAAGCACCTGGAATATACAAATTATTAAACAAATAACCAAACAAGCAATATTTTTACTTCACAGGCAGGTGTCGGCTGTTCAAAGCTGGATTAGGGATAACCTTCGGTTAAAATTTAACCCAGTGTTTTAGTTTATGTATTTCTGCACGTCTGTTTATTTCAAAACTTCAGAGACAAAAACTCCTGTTGATCCAGCCAAGATTTCTGAAGAAATATTTCTAAATTCATAAACAGTGAGGTGTTGGGAAGTTCACTTTGAATTTTAGGTGAACCAAGGGTTAAGGGTTTTGAAGACCGACCCCAGGGCGGGGTATATAGTGAAATAGTATATACTTAATTAAGTAAATACCCAGAAACACCATCAGTACCTTTTCAGCCTCTTTCGTTTCATCAAACAATCGTTTCTGACGTCGTACAGGACATGGTCTGGCATTGTGCCAGTTATCTTCCCAGGCGTTGCCTTTCACACGCATGCGCAGACTTAATCTTCCTTCTTCACACCAGTCCTGAAGACAAGAAAATTTGATATCAAAATATCATCAAACCCTTAGAGTTTAATGCAATCTCTGGGTTTGTTGATACGCCCATCATTCCCTGAGCTATATAGATACGTAAATATAACCCAAGTTTAAAGCTATGGCTGCATGTAGTGGTAAAGCTAGCCATGGCAACTGGTCTTGCTATGTTAATAAACCTACATCTAATCTAAATAATAAGACAATACATTTCTAACGGTTTAAATAAGGCGAATTATTAGACATTTGTAAAGTGTGACTTGTTGCTATGGCTAGCTCGCCCCTGGTTGCATGAGAGAAGAGTGCTTTCTCAAAGGTCACAAAGCAGTAACTAACCTTTGAACATGGTTGATCACATAACTCTTCACTTTGTTGGTTCTCTTCACTTTGTTGGTTCTCTTCACTTTGTTGGTTCTCTTCATGGAAAGCTTCATTTAGTTCTTCTTCAGTAATTTCCTCCTCATCATCTAAACCCCAGTCGTCTTGCTGCTTTTGTTCTCCTTCTGAAAGATAGATATGCATTTCACCGAGGGATATATTTTTGAGAAGTAGTCGATTACCAGCAGTTTGACATAGTATGGTACGGTGTATGGTACAGTAATTCATGGTGTGTTATATTATAGGGTGTGCTGCCATCCATTTGAATATTTATACCTGTAGTATGGGTGGATTGTATCCACACGCATGGTATGGTATTGCAATGGTATGGTATGGTATGGAATTGCATGGTATATTATGGAATGGTGTTGTATATGGCATAGTATACAGTAGAATGGTATAGTATGGTATGTATGTTATCGATCTGGTATGATACGATCTGGTATGATACGATCTGGTATGATCATACGATCTAGTATGATCTGGTAAGGTATGGTACATACAGTATATACAATATATATACAATATATATGGTGCTGCTACCATGTCGAGCAATGTATAAAGCAGGTTCATAGAACCTACACAATAGCAATATTTAAAAACAAACCAATTGTCCAGACATGTCAATACCTTTCTGTCTTTGTTCGCTTTCCAATTTTCTTCTATAAATAATCTCATCCTCAGTCTCCTCTCCTTGTAGCCAGTCATTCGGGGAATACCAGCGAACGAAATCTTCCAGTAAGCAGCCTGGGTTAGCAGCCTGGGAAAACATCGGTATTTCAGATATCATATGATGTTCTTCACGCTTTCAAAGTGGGTTAAAATGAACGTTGAAAACAATCTATCTTTATTGACTATTTCTTACTGCACTACCCCAGTTCCTATACAACCTCGCTCAAAGCACCAAAAGCTGGAACCATCCCTGCAGTCAAGTGTTTAATGAATTCCTCACTCATCGGTGAGCGGATTTCCCAACAGGCTATTGCCCAATGGATAGGGGATCCGAGGTACCTACGATTTTAACGTCCTTATCCGAGAAGACGCGAAAGTCTAATCATTTAGTGATGTCAATGTAAGGGTAGCTCTTTCTCCTCAATTATTTTTAAGATCTTGAGTAGAGGTCCGATCAAGGAATGAACTCGGGTAACTCAGATTGAAAGGCAAGCATGGTGATCACGACACTGCTAGTTACCTTAAATGCCTCCATATCGGAAAGTAAAGAAGCACTCTGCATTTGAGCACGAATTCTGGCGCCTTCTTCACTGGTTCCCAGTTGTGTGAGAATATCAGCATGAGCTTGTAACATGTCTTCTGTCATCGGAGCTGGTTCCTACAACATATTGAAGCTACACTTTCACATTGCGATTTTTCTGGCCGATTGGACGTTTTCTCGAATGTACTGTAAAGTTTATTTTCTGCTGTTCCAACAACTTGTCATCTCAGCTTGATGACAAGCCATCAACGGCTTGTTGACAACAAACTTGTTAAAAATTGTTCCAACAACTTGTAATCGTCCTGCAATTCAACAATTTGTCAACAAGTTGCGAGTGACAACCTTGTAGCAACTTGATAAAATAACAGCATTGTTACAACTTGTTGACAAGCTTGCTACAAGTTTGTTGCGAACACATCTTGTTGACAAGTTGTGAAATTTTTACATGTGTATCTGGCCATATGATCTGGCCTTCGACAACCGCCACCAGAAACACAATTTATTCACCCAAGTCACACCTCACATACCTGTGTCACGGGTATATACAAAGGTTCCCCAGATACCAACAGTCTACGATCTCCACATCGTTTCAATGCTCCCTCTCGTCTCGTATTACCCTGCCCTGTCTCTAAAGGTCCCTCTACATCCCCACCAGAATCATCGGAGTCATCTTGGTCTTCTAAAGCTTCGAAAAATTCATCGTCACTGCTGTCATCACCAGGGCAACTAGATCTTGCACTGGTTGGGCGCCTTGGAATGTCTGCTGGTGTATCTCCTTGGTTAATGCTAGTTTGACTTCGCTTTGATAGACACTTTCGAGCTATACAGCAGTTCAACATCTATGAAAGAAGTTCAGTTATTATCCGTCATAACAATTTAATGTCCTGGTTAAGTCTAATAAATGTATAAAAATTCACATTCAAAATCAGGGGTCGAAATTCCCGCTATTCCGCTATTCCGAATATACTAAAATGCATGACGGAATAGTAAACTTCATGATCATAGTATTCCGTTTGTATAGTAGAAAAAAATGTGGTACCAAATATCGACAAGCAAGGGTTTTCCTCATCTTATAAAAAATCACTTTATACCGCACTTTGAGCCACTGTTCCACTTCGTAGCTAATTTCTTGTTCGCTTGCAGTACTTGCGTATCCTAATTTCTTTGCAGCAATGTTATTGTCGTTTTCAAGTCACTTTTCAACGCGCGGTTCCCAAGTTCGTTGCGAACTTGCCAATTACGTTTCCAAGTTCGGAAATTGGGCGCGAACTTCGCAACAAAGTTCGCAAGTTCATTTCAGTGTTTGAACTTTGTTTTTTATTAATAATTTATTCATCACTGTACAGAGCAATGCACTGTACATGTTTATTTTTTGTTATTCAATTATTCAGTTCACTTTAGGAGTTTCAAGGATGATTTCATGAAAATCAGAAACAGTACATTAAAGAATAGTGGATCTTCAGACGGAATAGTAAATATAAAAATCTACTATTCCGGCTGTATAGTACAAAAAAATTTAAGTTTCGACCCCTGAAAATTTCCATCTACAAAACCTTCTACATAGAGTGGCTGCCCGATTCATCTGAGCGAGGGGATTACTACACAAGCACTTGACGACGAAGGCCTAAAGGGTTAGTTTCAGTAACCACTTCAATATAAACGTTTATTTTACCTGGAGCTTCTGATGAATTAAACAGCAATCAAGATTCGGAGCCACTAACTCAAGTCTGTAAAAGAAAAAAGTCACGGGAGTAAAACGAGCGCAACCACATGACCAAATACAGAGGAGGGGGCATACCTTGATATCAAAATGCCGTGATCCCAACGATATCTCATTTCCAACACAAACTCTTGCCAAAGATGAGCCACAGCTCGCAGCCCTAGAATAACATACCATACATGTACATGTAAATAAAAATGATTAAATACTTCGATATCATACTTGGAAGCTCAGTAACGATCCCCCCCCCCTCCCCCCCTCCATCAAGAGTGGGCTCACAATTATCCCACACGTAGTGAAAGATAACACCCCCTATATCAGAAATTGCGTTGCAAGCTGCATCAAAAATTGTCGTGTGTAACCTCATGGCTCTATAAATTAGACCTCACCTCCATAGCTGTGATTAACAATACACAGACATATCGCCAAAGCGTAAGTCAAACTGTCTCGCGGAGTTCCTTTCAGACCACGAAATTTGTCCTGAAAGAGAGTTGCCAATTCTATGAATCCGGAAATAATTTCTGGGATAAACAAATTTACAAGAGGAAGTAACGATTTGTGCATAAGTTATAAACACTAAATTTACATTTGATCATTCAAACGTTTATGATAATATACAAAAGTCTGAACTTACATTAGGCATATTTTTAGTTGCATAAACATTTGATTTTAATATTTCTTCTTGTTTCACATCAATATCGTTTGGGTTTATCTCGGCATCTGGAAACAAGTGCTGCAAACACAATTATACCTTAATTATCAAACAGAATTTGTTTACACTATCAAAGTTTCTGTGATCACAGTAGGAATTTTGCAAAGGTAAATTCTAAGTTTTGAAAGATTTGTAAGAAATGTTTGAGAGAACAGACTCACTGTTTAACACCATGTCAGTGGACTTAAACATTTCTTACAAATCCTTCAAAACTTAATTTACCTATGCAAAATTCCTACTGTGATCACAGAAACTTTGATAGTGCAAAGAAACCTTTATTCCATTGGGTGTGTGATATAGTACAATTACTGAAGCCATGCATAAAAACCTGCTGGTTTATGTACTGTACACGCGTTACGTCCAGAACGTCAGTTGTTTAAACTTTCTAAATATATTACCTTCAATATAACATTGAGAAGTTCAGCAGGTATTGGCGACTCGTCACTACTAGAGCCGGTAATCTTCGACGTTGCTTTTGTGACAGCAGATTGTATGTTGGAAGACAAGACTGGCTTGGTCAGTTTTTGAAATGCATGAGCAAAGTCTTTGGGTGAATCTGAAAATAGATACGCAGGTCGTTACCTACTTGTAAGTCCTGTACAGTTAGGTGTATGTTGAAGTCCAATACAAGAAACTTCATCTATTATTAATAAAGGCACACCCACCTTCAGCATTATCATAAAAAGCATCATGCTTCAGTAATGCTGACGCGGCCTCTTTTCGATGACAAAGATTCAAATAACGATCAACATATTCACCTACAAAATAAGAACATTGTTTGTTTGTTTGTTTGTTTGTTTGTTTGTTTGTTTGTTTGTTTGTTTGTTTGTTTGTTTGTTTGTTTGTTTGTTTGTTTGTTTGTTTGTTTGTTTGACATCCTACATAATAATGAACTTACCTAAAAGACATTTTGGATCATCATTCATTCTCACTCTCACATGCCACTGCGGCGCTTGCAGAGGATCTAAATCACTAATTAAAAGAGACATACATGAGAAAGTTGTGGATTGATAGGGATACAACTACCTGAAAAATACAAGAACTTCAGTTTGACACAGCTCTTTCTGGAAATAGCACAATAAACTTACGAATAAATTCCATTATCAACAATGACATCTTCAGATAAACATGGCCAAGTCACTGATAAATGTAGCTCGCTAAAAATAAAAAAGTCTCAGTATTTGAAGATCAAACTGGGAACACTATGCTGTCCAATACTAATAGGTTTTTCAGTATAGTAGGTGGGATGTCTCTGTTCAGAAACATACAGTATACATATCATATATATTTATAAACATACAACAAAATTATGTAATATTTATATAATATAATATAACCTGATAGCATCTTGTCCCGTACCAAATGGTAATGTAGACATATCCGACAGACCCACTTCATCTCCCAAACACGAGTCAACATCAGGTGGGGCCTGGGGCCAATCTGTGTCGCTCCACTCATTCAAAAAATATGTGAACCTGATGGTGATTGTCACTGGGGGACAGCTTGACCCACGGAGAGCCTAGAACACACAAAATTTTATACAACATTATGACAAGCAAACTGTTAATTAGCATTGACTTGCCTAGTAAACACTTGACATTTTCATGGCCTGTGGGGCTATGGAGCTCGACAACTCGTCTCTGTAGCTCAGTTGGTTAGAGTGCTGCACCAGAATCACAGGACAGCAGGTTTGATTCCTGCAAGAAGGACTATAGTTGCATTTCTCACAACTACTCCTACTCTCTAATAAATGTATAAAATTCACACTCGAAAAATTTCCACCTACAAAAGCCTTCTACTTAGAGGAACCCTGGCCATCAGCTACAAAACAAAAACAATACAACTACTGTACATACCAATTTATCTTTAAAGACATCAAGCAAGCCTTTGAGATGATTGAATTGCTTTGGAGTGTGACGTAAATGCGCCATTTCAAATAAGGTACGGAAACCATTGCCCAGGCAGAGGCCACGATACAGCCGTCTCCACTTCTGATGCAACTGAACCAGCAATGGAACATAGCTAGCAAGAATAGTGAGGTTAAATTGAGTTTATGATCATTGATAGATGTGTTTCAGATGAAATCCTGGATGCATCAATGAAGTACACAAGTCGTGTAAAAATCTCACAACTTGTCAACAAGATATGCTTGCAACAGGCTTGTAGCAAGCTTGTCAACAAGTTTTAAGGCTCATTTCATCAACTTGCTACAAGGTTATCACTCACAGCTTGTTGATAAGCAGTACAAACACATTGTTGGAACAGCATTGCTACAAGTCTGCTGCAGGCTCATTACAACTTGTGCATTTTATGTATATACAAGAAATGGCCTCCTCTTATTACTCCAGTGTCACGACACAGGAAAAAACTGAGAAATAACCCAAAAAACCTGCAGTATTTGGTATAGGGAAAGCATTCATTGAAGACACAAGAAATGCTTAAAATACACATTAACAACTCACCACTTAGCATTTGCTAAAGCCATTGAGATAGAGCTTAGCAGTAAATGACATCTCGACTCACTTGTGATAGCTGCATTCTCTACAGCTGGTGATAAAACTAAGAACTCTTTCATCCCATACCTGAGAACAGGAAGATCAAAAATAAAATTGTTTTATGCATAAGTTCTATTGACACTTGTTGAAGATTGTTTAGACAGAAATATTACCATCCACCTACCATCTACTGAGGCAGTGAACTCTTGGTGGAAAATCATAATCCATGTCAAACATTTCCAAAACAGCCGGAGAAAGACCATCTTCAAACCCTTGACAGAAACAAAACTATTCATCCTTGAACCCTCATATTTGGGCGAGGTAGTTCAGGGAAAAACTAGACTGCGAGCGGTCCCTCCTTCCCATGGATATAGCTTCCTGGGCGTGTGAGGGGAAAGGAAGGACTGCCGACATTCGACAACACATCAAGAAATGAAATACGTCCACTTTTCGCTCATGTCAAGTTGGCTCCGCCCTTGAATAAACATTACTTATACCCAATTAAATCTATCCAATAGGAACCGTTAATGTAATGTTTATTTATAAAATCAACATTCAGTCGGGAAATTATTTATAGCATAATTACTACATATCAGATTTGATTGACAGCCACACCAATTTCGACCAATGGGAATTTTGCATTGTGTGGGCAATGTGCATTTTGTTTCTTGATTTGTTGTCCCAGAGGTTGTTTCACCTTACCAGCATTTTCTTCCCTGGCTTCATTCTTTGCAGTCATGCAGTGGTGGTAAGTGATATCAAAGCAAAAGTCTGAGAAATGAAGTGTCTCTGATAATGTCTCCCACCATGATTCTCTAGACTAGAAAATAAAATGAATCTAAGAACCATAATTTTGATTAAAAAAGAGACTTTATCAAATAAAATATTGGTTGCAACATATTAAATAGTCCTACCTGAGAGGTCACCTTCTTAGGGATTGGTTTTAGATTGCCAGAGTTTTCTTCTTTATTTGAAGAGGAAAAGTTGCGAATACGCTGACATGGATTTAACAAAATAGCAGGGTTAACTGCAGAGCTGACAAAAATGTCAGGTCAATTTCTTTCACGCTATAAATACCTGCAAAAATGAAGGCTTCTTGTTGCTGTTATCAAGTTTCCATTTGTGAAGAATTTCCTCAATTTGTGAAACAAACCTGACAATGAATCATAATACAGCCGATTCAGGTTGAGGGTTTAATTTACTGTTTGTCATGTTGTTGTAATTGTTGCAACATATGTTTCTAGTCTTTCTAGCATGCCTTGCCTGGAAAGGCACTCAATTGAGTGTCCTTAAAATATACAAGTGCACATGCCTATTGTCAAGCGGCTTGTCAAGCGACTATTTAATTTTTTAAGGACACATTACAGTAGGTTTATATCATCGATTAACCCATTCAGCTGCAGAGCTTCCCCATTGACGAGTGAAATCGTCTGGCATTGGACAAGAAAAAAAAGTACCGGTAGGGCGCATTGCGGCTGAATGGGTTGAATAGAGACATTGTCAGATTTTTGGTTAACCCATTAAGCTGCAGAGCTTCCCCATTGACAGGTAAAATTGTCTGGCGTTAGACAAGTAAAAAAAAGGATGCTCTAAACATTATATGTATATGCCAGTGATAGAGATTGTACACTGTGCATGTCCGTCGTCAGGCTTCCAGACTGGAATGATATGGCTGGTTATATATACCGTGATTAACCCATTGAGTGGCAGCACTCTCCCCCTGATGAGTAAAATCATAATGTAGGGCGCATCTGGACGCATTGCAGTGTGGAAAGTTTGTATCACACCACTGATATCCTGGCCGTGCAATTTTGATGCTTTCAATATATTTACTATTAAATTTTAGAAATCTTGGCTGCGCCATTTCCAAACTTTCCACTTAGGCACATTGCCACTTAAAGGGTTAAATAATATAAAAATTCCCAGTTTGACAAACTCACAGGCGTTTGTTGCGGGGGTTAGGGCAATTGAACACTGGACACCAAGTTTATTTGACATCACCCACAGCAAACACTAATGAGGTAGTCCAAATTCCGGGTACTTTACACTTTACCGTACCGCAAGTATTTGATGGCGTGTGTGCTGATGGTTTTTCCGTTCTTTTATTGGAGTGTTTTGATGGCGTATGTATTCAGTGATTACTCCGGTATGGTAAAGTGTAAAATTTCCCGAATGCCATTGGGTCACCGGGTCAGGCCGTCTGCAGTGCACCAAATATGCCACCAAACAAAATCAGTACAGACCACAGTATAGGGAGACAACCAGTAGGGCCACTTAGGGGAGAGAAAAGTGGCAATTATTTAAGCTAGGTTCCAGGTGTCTTACGCGGCCAAAATCATTATTCTGTAGTACAATTTTATAGTGGACTGCTGCCGTTTACTGGCTGCCAATATGTAAATTAGGTTGGCAGCCAGTAAACAATGTAGACACTTTTTTACGCTGAGTGGCTCTACTGTACTTTTCCTATACTGTGGTACAGACCAACACAAACCCAATTTCAGACACCCGTAATTTTGTATAGCTACGTTGCCAAAATACGAGGTTTTCGTGGTTTCATTTAATTTTTTAAAAGTTCTACGGTCAGGCAATGAAATAATCAAATAATAACAGAATTTCCGAGGTGGTTTTTTTTTCATTTAAAAACCTACAAAACCTACCTCTCCCATTCAGACGCAGTGGTAAAATCAGTAATTTCAAACACACTTGACTCCTGAAATTAAGAATACGAGGAAACAAAATAAAAATGCTGCAAAGATACTTCCGAAAATCAAATTATAATTCATCTTGTCTTACATTTTCTTCGTCTTCTGCGTCGGCCATATTGTTTTTAATTGTGACGTAATAGAAACCAGTGGCCTGCCGGCAGGGGGGGGGGGGCATGGCCCCGAAGGTTTTTTAGGGGGTCAAAGCTTTTGCGAAACTCCGACCAAAATTGTCAATTCTACTTAAAAAATAAAAAATAGGTCAAATGGGTCTTAAACTGTCCTAAATGACGTTTCAAAAATGTTTTGCCCTTCCCCCTCAACACATATTTTGGGAAATTTATAACGATGGGCATCAAATTTTGAGGTGGCCTCACCAGACGAGCAGGAGCCAGCCCGGCACTGACAGAAACATTCCATTTTTTCAAAAAATCTGCTACACATACAATATGGCAGTTACCAAATATACTGTCTATACTATGATCTGTTGACATGGGCGTACCGGAAAGAAAAATTTAGGGGGGCGGAAAGAAATTTGCCAGACTTTTTCGGATTGTGCCCGACCAGTGCCGAAAATTTTTTTTCCGTAACAAATTCATTTTGGCGACCTCTCCCCCCCCCCTGTCCCCAAAAAATTTCGGTCACTGTACCATTTTAGGGGTCCAAAAATTTTCCAGACAACACAAAATTTACCACAAAATTGACAGACTTTCCCACAAAATTGACAAAATTTCTCCCATTTTTTTTTATAATAAGCCAATATTGCCCGACTGTGGAGCAAATATTGCCCGACTGGCTTTGTTTGCCCAACAAACTGGGGGGGGCTGCCGCAACCCACGAATAAGCATGTCTGTTGATTGTAATTTCGTTCGACTTCATCATATTGTTGAGGTATAATGAAATGAATCGCACATTATTATATTAATTAAATTTATATTCAATTTTGCATGTAAGTGCAATAATTACAATACTGTACAATGTTTCTCTTTGAAGTGCTATTAAAATACCATTATTGTCTCATCATATACAGAATATGGGTGGGTCTTGTCAGACAGAATTAAATTGAGCTCTGCATGTTTAGCATACTTATAAATATTTACAAAAGCCAGTAATTCAAATGTAAATTAGGTTGTTTGTACCAAAATAACCAGAAAATATCCAAACCTCCCCCATGGAGGAAATTCTTCCCTCCATCTCCAGGCAGCAGAATTTCTTTTGTCGGGGGTCTGTGGAACTTTTCTGAGAACAACCCAATAATACGTAATATGCAGTTCAGACATCCAGTTCCATCATGCAATTTTTCCTATATAACTTTTTCATATGATTAACACAATGCAAATTGTTACAGCAATTAATATACTTGTGGTTTTCGGTAACATAAACCTAGACCTACAATGAATGTTTATATCAAATGCCATTGTCTACTTTTTCCACATGATTTTGTTTGTTCGCTACGGTGATTAGGCCTTGCCATGATTTGAATGATGGTCATCTTGTGGACAGCTTAATTACATGCTCACAGCTCCTCATCGTTGTGTTTTCTCAGTGTTCCATCGGCACATTTTGATGACTCTCTGCCTAAAATGCAAATTGATAAGATGAATATTTTGATATGTAGTCCCCTTATTTGAATTTGGCAAATTGTGTAAATCACAAATATTTAAAATCTTAAGTATTTGTGTGGATTTTTTACTTCCCAAGCATATATTTATTACAATTATGATCAACATTTCTATATAGCGCAAATTTACATTTGTGGATACGATCAAAGTTGGTCTATCAGTTCAGTAACTCAGTGGTGATGTTGAAAAAGTCACAAACCTGCTTCAGTTTTAACAGTCGTTGATATTCTGCTTCTCTTTCGTCCTTATCAAAGTACCACAACGTAATGGCATACCTACAAATGCAACAACAATAGAAATCACATATATGTTTGACTTTGGAAATTATGAATATTAATATTGGATATATTGAATATCAATATTTTTTGGTATTATCAGGTCTTTTTAGTGTTGGTTTTCAGGTTTTTTCCAACAGATATTACAGACTGGAAAGTTGCATTTAAATACTATTTTAAATATATAACATTGTAATAGCCTAACAGTAACCTTGTTGTATGAGCTGGTAATACTTCATGAGGATTACGTCTGTCTGACCAAAATAAGAACAGTCTGTCAAGTATTGGTTCAATATCGACATATACATCTCCACCATGAGGGTATAGACGTAATACTCCACCATTAACCTGTAAAATACAGACCAAGATGAGAACAAGATTAAACTTGGTTAATACTAATTTCATTGAGCCGCAATGCACCCCAGTGCGCCCTACTTATTTTTTTTTTACTTATCTAACACCAGACGATTTTATTCGTCAAAGGGGAAGCTCTGCAGCTTAATGGGTTAACCCTTTAAATTAAGCGTCAGTGTATCCTGATGTGTCCTACTTTATTATTTTGCTCTAACACCAGTGAGACAAGTTTACTCGTCAAGAGGGATTCTTGTGCTATAATTGCACCGTAATGCACCCTACATTATTGTTTTACTCTGTCTAATGCCAGATGATTTTACCCGTCAAGGGGAGATCACCAGCACTGAATGGGGTTAAACAATAAGTCAGGGGTCTTCACCCCTTTTTTTCGGCAACCCAAACCCAAGCTTCATAGGTGTCCCGCGACCCTGAACACTGCCAATAAAACTTTCGATAATTAAAAACATTATGGCTTTTCACCGAAAGCTTCCGAGTGTATGACGACGACTCTACTTCGGAAGACGACGTGCGCCGAAGGCGCGCCGAGTGGTGCTAAGCCATAATGTTTGAGTTACATGAAGTAAAAGACCTGTATTATATCTAAAGCTTTACCAGTTTACCTGTTTTAACCATATTATTCTAGCAATCTAGCGCTTGAGTGCTTCATAATAATCGTGAAAAAACATTGTAATCGCAAATTTCGCAAGGAAATATTCATATGTAAATATGTGCATCTTATCACTTGATCTCTCGTCTTGTAAAGTTTACTAGTGTAAGTTCGCGACCCTAGACAAGCATTGCGACCCATGCGACCCAAGACAAGCCTTGCGACCTTCGAGGGTGTGCTAGCGACCCAATTTTGGGTCGCGACCCATGGTTTGAAGACCCCTGCAATAAGTGTTAGGTAACAAACCGTCCTATCGTAGTCCTTGTTGAGATAATACAGGGTGGTTATACATCGGCCATCTTGGTTTGGATTATCAACATGCTTTCTGTACCGTTTCTCTGCACCAGGATAACATGCAACCATTGCCTTAAAATAAAGCAAAAAGTCGATAATCTGCAGCAGATCGGTTGTCAGCTGATCACATCGACATACATTGGCATCTATCAGCAGGAGTCAACAAACGGATAAATAACATTCTAGCTTTTGTTTGTGATATATATTTCCTTTTGTTTGTCAAGAAAAACTGCCATATTTACTTATACCGTTACCAGTCATTTACCAGGATACTTTTCCAAAATAAATTGATTACTAAATTTCAATCCTTGACTATCATAATAATATTTCTGTTACTGGTAGACCTATTAATTCTTGTGATGTTGTGCTAGCCCTGGAAAGTTGGGTGCCAGAGATTTTGAAAATGTAATAGTAAATATATAGAAACCATCAAAATTGTGCGGCTGATATCTCTGTCACGTGATACCGGTACAAACTTTCCACACTGGGTGCTAGCATTTTGCCCCAATTTTGAGTGTGGGGAATTCCTGTTAAAGGGTAATGGCAATAAATTTTTTTATTGCTTTATCTGAAAGAGCATGAAAAAATAAGCCGATTGGCCGTTTACTGCTCTATTCTATCTCATCTGGTTCCGAAGTTATACGCAAAAATGTGCAAAATATAAATTGCTGATTCAGCACAACGTGTGACGTCATTGGTAGGGTAAATATGTTTAATGAATAGTAAACTGAAGCATAGCTCAATTATTATTGGCTCAAATCAAATGACATTTTGTATACAGATAGTACATGATGAGACGTATGGGAAAATACTTCTAATTTTGTTGTCAAGGCAACGCAGTCGTTCCCAGGCCCCTTACACTGATTTTGAATAACTAGTTGCATTTATCTATGTGTATGTCATTTTCGAATTATTATCATGCAAGTAAACTTTTGGCATGCATAGGTATGGTACACATACTTCTGACATTATTTTATTCTTATAAGTACCATGAATAAAGCTGTTTTATAAAATTGGCGCAAGGGGCCTGGGAACGACATTGTTACCTTGGCAACAAAATTAGAAGTGTTTTTCAATGCGTCTCATCATGTACAATCAGTATCCAAAATTTCATTTGATTTGGGCCCATAATAACTGAGCTATGCTTCAGTTTAGTATTCATTAAACATACTTACCCTACCAATGACGTCACACGTTGTGCTGAATCAGCAATTTATATTTTGCACATTTTTGCGTATAACTTCGGAACCAGATGAAACAGAATAGAGCAGTAAACGGCCAATCGGCTTATTTTTTCATGCTCTTTCAGATAAAGCAATAAAAATTTTTATTGCCATTACCCTTTAATCCTGTTAACAAATATTGATAACCGCCAATAAATTGGCCATTCGGATGGTAAATCGGATCAGAATTTATTGGATCGGTAAATTTTATTTTTCTTGATCTGCTCATCCCTACCAGAGGGGAAGAAAAATTTGTTTCTGATAACAGTAACTGTATTAGTAGTACATTGTTGGGGGGGTTATTTTCATTTCCAAATTTCCTTCCACAACATCAACAGCACATTTTACTATTATCAGACATAGATTTTTACCCCACGGCAGATATTTCCTCTGTAAGGGCGGTATGGATCTTTTCTGAAATTACCCATTGTATAATCAGGTTATGATAAGAAGGATCAAAAGTATTGATTTCTTATGTAACGTCCTCATCACACACAAGCATATCCAAACGTCGCATTCTTTTCCTTATGTTACAGCTTATCCTTCACTTACCTTGCCTCGTTAAGTGAGGAGGTTTGACGACTGGCTGAGGAGGTTTGACGACCGGCCAAGCAAGCGTGAAATGCCGACCAAGGTCACAAAACTTACAGGACGTTTGTGGTAATGACATGGCCAAAAATTTGGCATGCATTCTACATTTAGGGCAAGAATATTATGTTTCCATTTGTGATGAAACCATAATAAACAATGTTGTGACAAATTAAAATGATCAGACACTTCGTAGGTGCCTTCACAATATAAATGCTTCCCATCTCACTGCATTCACAATATGCTTCCCATTTTCATTGAAATAGATAACTTTTAATACCTGGGTTCTTCCTTCAATTCTATGACATGAAATCATTTTATTGAGCTCGCGAAGCAAAGCATCGACTCTACGCATATGAAGTGCAATATTCTCTGCCCTTTCTTCTCTACCATCGAGCCATGCGATCAAATCGCCTCGTATGTTTTCCGAAGTTAAAGTGTTAGTCAGTTGCCCGTTGTGCATTCTTCCGCGCTCGTGTACATTTTTTACTTCGTCCAAAATCGCCAAAGCCTTCTCTTCTTTGTGGAAATTATCGATAACACAGTAACCTTGGTGGTTTAGCTTTTCCAGAACGTTCCTCGCAAGCTCCTCTAGTGTGTTCGATCGTGTGTCCTGCATGACATTCCCATTCGTATTCACGTATGCAATCAATGACAATGGATCCTTCTCGCAAGAAGAACATTTTTTTTCCATTAAACGACTACAATCGACACACACTCTTTCCGTGGTAGGCGCACTCATCGTTCTAAGCAAGTGTTGCTTTCCTGTGCTTATATCTAATTAAAAAAACGACAAAAAAACAGTAACTTTTCCGAAATTTCCAAATTCATGCTGTATTTCACGTTTTCCCCCTTGCCAAATAAACATCTGAGTTGATGAGGTGACATTCTTCACACCGCGGGCGCGGTTGTCAAGGAAGTATGAGAAAGATAAAAGATTTTAATACAAATTAAAAGTCTCTCAATTTCAAAGAAACCGTGTGGAGAAAGTGTTGAGACAATTTCGCGTTAATAGTTTCAGTAAAGTCCGGAAACATTAAAGTAAAGGTTTAAATATGCATAAAGACGACGGAATATTGAAAAAGATGCCATGCACTTGAAGTGAACTGAAGGTCACCATTTGCCGATTACTTCATGTTATTATCGCTATAATGTCGCCTGTGCGGGCAAAGAAGAAATTAATTTATTAAACTCATCACTGAATGACAATACATAAAGTTATTATCTGATGCTTCATCGTCAACATGCGTTTTGTATTTTTGCCCAACTAACCCATACCAATGTTTCAGGAAAGTTAGCAATCTGTGACTGGAACAATTGGGTAATTTATATTGTTTGGAGTTCCTCACCCGACACCCTAACCCCTGCATGACCCTAACCAGCGCATTGGCCCCACAACCAGTAACAAAGGAACTGTGAAACAGTAACAAAGGAACTGTGTTCAACAAAATGCGGAACCGGTAACGGATCCGAAAGTAACGCGTCAAATGCGAAACTAACGCGTCACCGAAATTAGCGGCTCCCGGAAGAATCGTTGAATATAATTTCTTGGCTTGCACTTGTCGTCATGGCGCCCATACTGGAAGAACGCCAACAAAGGAATACAAGGCGAAATTTAACGAATGGGATTTAGCTAGGTGGGATGCAATATCTTGTACACTGGCAGTGATTTAGTAGTTTGCAATCAATAAATTGACTTTCATAAGAGGCCAAAGACAAAGATATGGCAGCCACGTATAGTGGAAAACCGTGTTTTCAAAACACGCTCCAAATACAATACTAAGGGCTACTACTAAAAAGCGATACAGCGATACAACGATACAGCGATACAGGAACCGGAACCGGAACCGAGCATAATTTATGCAAATTAGAGCATCTTGCACCACAGGAGATATACATGATAATAATTTACAGGGGGGGGGACGCAATTCAAAGATAGTACAATATATTACAAGTGAAGCATTTTGATTTTCTAAACGAAAAGAATGAACATCGTTGTAACACTATATTACAAAGTAAAACATGTTTCGTAATTGCGCGGCGATTCTTTTTGTCTGGTTTGATATAACTGCATGTGACACACTGGTTTATTTAGTTGCCGCACTTGAAATGCCAGCAGACAGAGAAAGAAACCAAGGCACGCAAAGCAGATTGCGCTTAATTCAACAGTAATTGTGCTCTAAAGTATATTTATTAGAGTGTACTCAGTGTATAGTATAGTATATGATGCAATCCTCTAAATGTGCTATATACGCTGCGAATATTGCGAATATACTGCATACTAAAAATATCCGCTTAAATATCAATTACAAATTATGAAGGTAACTTCAATATTATGTCAAAAATACATTTAATTAATAATGAAAAATTAAAATGTGTGATTGAAATTCAGCGTCGAAAACAAATAGGGATGTTAGGATGTACAATGCAACTTCAATGGACAATGCCGATAATATGTTGAATGGCCCCCATGGCCATGTCGAAGTTTAGTTGCTTTAACAGCTTCTATTTCAGATTTTACTTTAATGTCGGAAACGGTACTTGATATCTGATATATTTAAACCCAGATAATACAAAAATGTGACAAAAAGTTTATCCAGTTAGTTGTGAGTAGCCTGTTACATAAAGTGGTGTACACATTATACGTATTCAGTGTTGAAGGCATAACAACAATATAGAGTCTTTTTATTATATTTTGTTATACTTATTGCCTTCAGTTGGAAATTATATATATATATATATATATATATAATTAGTTCTTGATGAATCATGTTCAGCAAGACTAAGAGATCATACGCAGAAGTTGCTAACGGAGTTGAAAGGTTATACTAAAACTAAAATGCGTCGGTATATAATTGTATAAATGAATATTTAGTTCATGTTTTTCCCTTCATAATTCACCCTTTGCGATGTTAATA